TCCGGTCAAAATGGGAAAATGGTATAAATAGTCGTGAAATTTATAACGGTATTGTTTGATTGGTAGATTGGTATTTTAATCTTGTATCGGCTGATCAACTCTTTTGTCTTGATGTTAACAAAACAAGATAACAAAAGCGACGATTTCAAAATAGTTGACACACTGCCGCAGAAATGGCGTCGTCAATGATGGTGACGATGACGCAAGTGTACGACATTCTTTTATCGTCCAAAGTAATAGTTAGAGTAGGGAAATGAATCAAAAGTAATGTCATTGTCTGGACTCATTCAGTGGTGTAGGTGTGACATGCATTTTGTTGCAGTGTGGCATCCATCAGTCACTGCAATAAAGACAAACTTGCTTTCTTACAGCCTTTTCCTCTGCATGCCGCTTCTACTGGATACAGTAGTGCTCCACGCTGTCTTCTACGGGCCTACACGTACATAATAAGGCTACAACGAGACGCTATAGTAGATCCAAGTCTTCTACAAAATATTCTCTAGTAAAGTGCACGATATCGGCCGGCCGGCTTTCTGCTTTCTGAATGGAGGATGCTAAGTAAAATGCATTAGATAAATACCGTACACATTTTATGATGATCCATGGAATCGTAATGCAATACAAAGTGCTACACAGTACAGTATAGAGCAGACTAGTGTAGTAATATGTCTTTCTATTTATAGACTGAGAGGAGAGAGAGAGAGAGCTGTTTCACAGAAGAGAATATTATTATCTCAAGTCTGTCAGGTAGAAGGTAAAGAGAGAGAGGTATACTGCTACATAGAGAAAAGATTCTCAACCCAATACGCCAACACACATACAGTATATATAATAATACATTTTACGAGGATCAATGGAATCGTAATGCAATATAAAGTGCTACACAGTACTATATAGAGCAGACTAGTGTAGTAATATGTCTTTCTATTTATAGACTGAGAGGAGAGAGAGAGAGAGAGCTGTTTCACAGAAGAGAATATTATTATCTCAAGTCCGTCAATATAAAGTGCTACACAGTACTATATAGAGCAGACTAGTGTATTAATATGTCCTACTTATAGACTGAGAGGAGAGAGAGAGAGAGAGCTGTTTCACAGAAGAGAAGGTTATTATCCCAAGTCCGTCAGGTAGAAGGTAAAGAGAGAGAGATATACTGCTACATAGTACTATATAGAGCAGACTAGTGTAGTAATATGTCTTTCTATTTATAGACTGAGAGGAGAGAGAGAGAGCTGTTTCACAGAAGAGAATATTATTATCTCAAGTCTGTCAATATAAAGTGCTACACAGTACTATATAGAGCAGACTAGTGTATTAATATGTCCTACTTATAGACTGAGAGGAGAGAGAGAGAGAGAGAGCTATTTCACAGAAGAGAAGGTTATTATCCCAAGTCCGTCAGGTAGAAGGTAGAGAGAGAGATATACTGCTACTACACTGGGAAAGGATTCTCAACCCAACACGCTAACACATATATATATAACAATATATATATTTTTTAGCTTATTGGGTTCAGAATCCTTTCTCTGTCCAGTAGTATATATCTCTCTCTACCTTCTACCTGACCGACTTAGGGTAATAAAGTTCTCTTCGCTGATACAACTATCTCTCTCGTCTACTGTCTATAAGTAGAAAGACATATTATTACAGGATGGACGTATCTAGTCTATCATAGTAGGGAGAGGACGCTGTGGTTAAGTAATATAAGTGGACTGTTTTTATTCAATTTTTAATTTAATAAACAAAGTATCATGAGTTGGAATCTTTTAATAATATTATTAATTCATGTTATACGGTATAGTATCAATTCATATTCTAATACTGTACTGAGGCCTGGGCTTCCTGAAAGCGATTTCAGGAAACCCAACAACTACATCCCAATGGACGAAAATGCTACACCGCGTGTACAGTAGAGATTCGAGAGCCGAGAAAGAGAGAGAGAGAGATGATCCATTAACGTACATATTTCTCGCCTAGAGCGAGTAATCTGTGATTGACTTCCAACTACTGTACGACATCAGTGCTATTAGTGCTATCAAGTTTTGCTAGCGATTTGTGCTGCCGTAATGCTAGTGGGCTAGAATCAATCGAGCATTGATATCCGCGTGTACACTGTATGTGCAGCAGAGTTTTACAAAAGGATATGTAATTCTGTGCTGATGCAGTATTTGTATAGCCATTGCAGTCATTTAAGGTTTGAAAATGCAACCATTTTATCAGATTCGAGTTGCGTTTTTACTCCATGCAAGGATTCTACTCTGCGTATTCTTATACTGTACAGAAGTCACTAGTCTAGCACTGACATCAGTTTTGCTAATGATTTAGGCTAGCGTCATGGCTACTCGACTGGATTCAATCGAGTCGTGGTATCACTATCGACCTACTACTATACATGGCATAGCAATGACGATGAGCTAGAGTAGTAGAATGGAGATGATCACCACTCGTTATTTTTCGTTCACGCAGCTGTCAACCAGTTCGAAAGTGCAAAGTAAACAATCCACTCCAGTCATGTTTCCATCCGATCTGTATAATGAGATTGCAAATGAGATGCAACACCATAGCGTAATCAATTATTCGAGGATTCTTCTACTCTACACTACTGAATCGACTGGGTATGGATTTATTTTTTGAATCAAGCACAGTGCTTATGGAGTATCTTGTGCCCTTTTCCATAGAGTGTTAATGGAGTAGATGGGTAAACACAGTACCCTATCGATTCTTTTAGCCTACCAAATTTGAAAAAAAAGCGACTGCAAATGGCAATTCGCTTTTGTATACTTGAACGTCCAGTAATCCACCGGAGCAAAAATAAAGTCACTTCAATAGGAATAGAATACTGCCTACAGTATGACTTCTATGGTTGTCACGGGTGACATTATATATAGTCAAGAAAGTGGATTGTCTTGGCAAGCAAAAAGTCTACCTTGGTTTCCAATGGAAATAACATTGACGTGGCCCATTAGTATGCAAGCTTCACTGAGCCATTTGTACAGCCATGATATTAGTCTAGACGATTGTGTGGGCATTGGATAGTGAATTAGTGACAGAGTAAGCGAGATCCAAGAAAAAGCCGAAAAACTTTTTCTTGGACCTCGACACCATGGCCTACTGGACATCATTTTTGAGTAGCTGATGAGTATGTGGAGTGACTAGTGATCGGGTCACTCAATGCACACTTTGCCTTTTCCAATGTCTCCAGTATAATTCCTACTGCTCTACGACCGTCTTCCAACACTCTACTCTCAGTTGTATGACACGATGTCCATATGTCGGTATGTCTGTAGTTGGATGGACTGCGCCGAAGGCTTCAAGGAGAGGCGACCAAGTCGACATAGAATTACTACCACTGGGAAAGGAAAACCTGCAAAAGTTGTTAACAAAATCCAATCAAATCCACTGTCAATCCATGCTATTTCGGCGTTTTTCACTTCCTTTCCATTTCTTTCCATAGTGGCAATTACAATCTTGATAGAAGAGTCTTTATCCTTTCTTTTATTTTCTCTTCCTTCAATAAAATAACTGAATGATTGGAAATCAAGTATCTAACTTCCTTCGACAACGCGAATGCCAGGTAAGAGGAGGTAGCAAGTTTTTCTGATCCAATTTTTTTTTTCAAAGATTTTTCTCTTTCTTCCTGGTAAGTTCCATCACGATCATGACAATAGTCTAGATCCAACTATTTGTAGAGTAAACGTCAACTTGTAAAAAGGGATAGTAAGAGAGTTAGACTACAGGTTACATCATCATCGCACACTCAAGGATAACGATGCAAATAACACGGATGCCCCCCCAGTGGATGTCGATGGATCTATTCGTAGACAAGATGAACTTTTCCGCTTTCCCCTTTCTAATCAGTACAAATCTCTACCTGAAAATAGATTTTCCATCATGACAAGACATCACCTTTCAAGCATTATACGCCATATTCTTATACTACTCAACATGGCTTCTAGTCATCTCTCCGATAGCCTTTGATAGGATCGCCTTGATTCTTTGACTCCAATTCAAATTAAATAAGAATAGTAATATTTCTGTTTTTTCCTCTCCCCCCCCCTTTGCAATGAGTACAAAATCTCTACCTGAAAATAGTATCCATTATGACAAGACATTATCTTTTCAGAATTATGCACCTTGTTCTTAGCTACTCAACATGTCCTCTAGTCGTCATCAGTGCTATAGCTATGGACATGGTCGCCTAGGTTCTTCGACTTCAATCCAAATGCGCGTAGAATGATAGTAAATAATTATATTTCCATTTTTCTTCCTTTCTAATGAGTGTAAAATCTCTACCTCAAAATATGACCCATCATGCAAGACATCATTTATCAAGGATTATACGCTATCTTCTTAACTACTCAATATATCCTCTGGTAATCAGTCCTATATATAGCTATTGACAGGATTGCCATGATTCTTCAATTCAAATAAAAATAGTAAATAATAACAACAACAACTAGCAAGAATTCGGATGCAAAGGGTAGAAAAAAACCATCATGAAAAAATATCTGCTGACTTAGAATCTTTTCTACTGTTATACTGTGTTAATCTTCTGTCATCACTTTTATACTGCATTCCATAGCCCTACTTGTACAGTATTTATCGCCAATTTGGAAAGTCAGATTCTTTTTCCTAACAGATTGACTGTAGGGATGGATCATACTTGATGACGAAATCGAGAAACTGACTTGGATTTCTATTGATTGGCCCCCTCCATCAAATTCATTTCTCTTTCTTTACTATCTTATGATATCAATCTATAAGAAGAAGCAAATCATCATTCATAGTTACTCGATGGTTGCGATCAACACCAGCCTACATACGCATATTATTTTGACTCTATTGTATAAGGGTTATATTCTGTTGATCAGATTGAAGAAAAAAGATGAATTATTATTATTTCTGTCAACCCTGAAAATGGAGAGATTTTCTTACAAACAAGTCTATTCTTTTTTTATTGATTTATCTTGTAGTCAGTAACTGGAACATTTAATCGAACGTTTGAAAGATCTCTACATGTCTTTCCATCGTTGGCGAATCGATTGGAATTAGAGACCGAGCTAGAGGTAAGCTACTGTTGCAAACTTTCAGCCATAAACTATCGTCTAAAGTCCACTTAAGCCGCTACTGCTACGTAATCATTCCAATTTTACACTCGATAAGATATAAGATATTGCACAACACTACTATACAATATCTATTTTCTGTTCATTCTTTCATTCACTCCAAAAATAGCAGCTAATGAGGAAGAGTGAACAGTGAGTTAGAATAGATTGTACAGTACATGATCTGTAAATATCAAGCATACTAAATTGATGAACAGATTAAAAAGAAAGAATACTGTACAACAGATTGTCCGGTAGATTACTGTAGTCACGAGTAATTAATTATGTATATAATTATAGTACGTGCACGTTTTTAGCTAGCGTTGCGCTTACGCTTAAACTCTTACCTACAGCTGGCATAGTAGAAGATTACTTTACTCCCGGAAGGAATATCAAGTTAAATTCTAGTAGCATACTTTCACTCACGCTATAGGGCAGTAAAGTTAAGTGTCGTTGATGATAAAAAAAAAACTACTTTTACAATGCCTATGAAGATTTCAATCTATTGTACATAACGTATATAATTTGTTTGTAATCAGCTAATTTCTACTCTTATGGACATACGTACTGTATTGGAGTCCTGGAGTAAGGATTAGGTTATAATTGCAATATAGCATACCATAACGAATCGTCGATTGCCTACAGTATACAATAGCCAACCGAATTACTACCATTGCTTGATCTAGCAGTTGCATGATAAAAGGATTTTAAAGGAATTTAACTCTCGTAGCATAGTATCCAACCTCTATCACATTGCTCGAATTGTAGAAAGATTGAACTATTTAATGATAAGTCGGAAGCAGTTAATAGAATATCTTTCTAGAATACAGTTCGTGCAGGATAGGGTTAAAAATTATAGTTATACAGTACTGCAAATACTTGAGAATATTGCTGAAATAAATTGAAATATTTCAATGTGAATTTATAACTTCATAGGGACACCGTGGTTGTGTTAACTGTCTCGAATGGAATGATGACGGATCGTAAGTATTTTTACACGAGTATTACAAATAAATTCTTCGCATTTTCTATGTCTAATATTTATTGATATCAGTAATAACCCTTGGCATTTATATAAAAGTGACTACTCTGTTGCAATATACTAGCTTATTCTTCTTAATAATCACTCATTAGCGAGAATTAGAATTATATCTCTAGCCTCTAACCTCTACATACGCGTCTATACAGTAGTATGGAAAACTCGAATCGCCTAGTTTCTCGGACGTAATCTACTTATTTTATTATTCATAGTAATCGCAAGTTAGCTAGATTTACATTAAATCTCTAGCATCTAACATATACAAATATACAGTAGTAAATAAACTCTGATCGGACCAAAAATGTTCGTGATAGTAAGTTCTAGACTCATACCACTAGTTAGAATGTTTAATTGAAGGAAATTGTTAATTGCATACACGTACTACTAACTGTGATAGTAATGTATTTATAGCGTTATATTGACTAACCTAACTGGCCCATTGCACTGTACGAAAGCTTATTTTATTGGTGTTCTATGTTACTACTCGTATATTCTGTAAAGTCTATCTTTATTCAACATAACTAATAATAATTGGCCACCTTTGCAGTATTAAATCTCCTTCATCGAGTAAAAACCTGCAAGTAACCACGGCTGTATGACAGTATTCATATGAGTTAATGATCCTCCCTTGTAGTTAGACTTTAATCCAAATCTGGAAGTAATAAAAATAGAAAGATTTATAACAGTTTTCCGATCATTATTACAACACTCTGTGTAGTTTATCAAAACTAAATGTTAAAGATAGTTAAAATGATACTATACATTTTATGTAGGTAAGGAAGAGATATATGTAACATAATAACAGGCTCTTCTTATTAGTAGCAATATTGGTGCCCGTAAGAGTTAATTTGTACAAGTGGAGTCACTAAGCATTGATCTTGATTATCTAAATTGCAATCAGGTTATTAGCTTCCGGATCTGATGATCTTAAATTTATCTTATGGGACCCGTTACGCCACAAACAAGTTTGGTCATTAAACAGTGGACACGTTGGCAATATATTTTCTGTTAAGGTATTCATTGAAGTATAGCTCTGGTAGATACTGCATTAGTTTTACAATTACAGTTACAGTTACAATAAATGACATAGGAGATTGACCATTTTGATACGCATAAGTTTCTATCGGATTAAGTTGATACAATACAATATTGACCTAAGCTTTCTTAAATTTCTAGTTTGTACCTAATTCAAGAAATAGTCTAGTATTATCTGGTGCTGCCGACAACAAAATAAAGCTGCATTCAGTCAAATATAGTAGCACTCAACAAACTTTTCGTTGCCATACAAATCGAGTGAAACGCTTGGCCAATACTGCTAGCATGCCCTACTTATTTTGGAGTGCCAGCGAGGATGGAACAGTCAGGTAAATATAATACTGTTCAATAATTACATTTACCTGTTTGATATTGTAAACAACCTATTAAATCTTACGATCTCAATAATATGTTTTCGTATTGTGTTATATAAATTAGAATTGCTAGTGACTAGCTAGTAAATTTTAAATTAAATTACCGATAAGAATCTACTATGTTTCGCTATCACTATTTCTATAAGATTTTATTTTATGTTACTATTTTGATCTCGAAAAATATCAAAGTTACTAGTTTTATGATGTTATATTATTACCTATCATCTGTAGACAATTCGATTTACGCGAAAATCACACTTGTCAGGATGGTCAATCATGTAGCAACGTATTAATCAATGTTGCTAATCGCGCTATTAGAGATTACCCTTCCGAAGTTAAATGCTTGGATGTAAATAGTATGCGACCTGAACTTTTAGCAGTAGGTTGCAATGACCAGTACGTAAGGCTATACGATACACGCATGTTGAAGGTAGGCCCAAAGTCTACTTCAGAGACCGTAAAAGGCTACATCCGCAGCTTTACAGCTGGTCACTTGAATAAACAAGGGAGTGGTATCCGATATAATATTGTGCAAAGGCCAGTAACGGTCACATATACCACATTTAGTCCTAATGGTCAAGAATTACTTGCTAATCTAGGTGGTGAGCAAGTATATCTTTTCGATGTATTTCAAGAAGTTCGGCCTCTAAAATTTACTGTCGACGATTTTCAAATGTCTACTTCCAATAGTTGTCATTTTATCAGCCAGCTAACAAATCATGAATCCTCTAATATTAATATGGATAAGCTATCTTTTACCGATCTTAAACACAAGAAAGTAAAACTTAATCATTCTTCAGTATTACCTGCTCGTGCTGAATCGCTGAAAATACGAGGAAATGACGCATACAACTGTAAAATGTTCAACTTAGCAATACAATACTATAATTTAGCATTATCACTTGGCGTAGATAATCCTCTATTGTATTCTAATCGTGCAGCAGCGTACCTTTGTAGAGGGTGGTAAGTAATTGTTTATTCATTCTGAAAGGCTTTCTATTTCGATTTTTTTATGCAGTAGTTCTTGCGATTACATATTTTAATTTTAATCTCGACTTTCGTACTTTTCTACTCTACAACGATTACGTTAAAGACATCTTATTGTATACTCTTGTAATAGGGATGGTGATGTATATGCGGCGTTAAGGGATTGCCAGATGTCATTATCGCTAGATCCAAACCATTTCAAGTCATGGACTCGCTTAAGCCGATGTCTTAATAATCTTCGATATTATAAGGAGTCATTAGCTTGCCTAGATTATATAAAGTCTTGCTTCCCTCGCTTTGCTAATGAAGATCCCGTAAAGAGTTTAGAATCTGAGATTAAAAATGGAATGGCCAATGCCGGTAAGGGTATTTCTTTTAACGCTAAACATCGTATTGTAGTATACTGTGTTACGGCAATAAAATTCAAAGATGTCTTTAATATTAATTACGACAAATTTTATGATCGTTGTTAAATTTTTGAATTATCATTTAGTATTTAATATTATACAACTGTTAAAATGATTTTTTATTTATTGTAAAGAACGCGAAAGAAGTCGTAACCAATCGGAAGACAATCAGTCAAGACATTCTGTAGCATGTTCTGATTTTAAAATGCGCTATTGCGGCCATTGCAATACAACAACTGATATTAAGGAGGCAAATTTTTTCGGAGCAAATTCTCAATTTATTATGGCTGGAAGCGATGACGGATCATTTTTCATCTGGGATAGGGAGACTGCAAACCTTTTGCATGTTTTACGTGGTGATGAATCAATTGTTAACTGTTTACAGCCACATCCCAGTGTTTGTGTCTTAGCAACAAGTGGTATTGATCATGTAATTAGATTATGGAGTCCTCGATTGCCCCCTACTGATCAGGAGTCTAGGCATTGTCAAGATATTGATTCTATCAGTTCCACAAATCAGCGAAGAATGAATGCTGATCCTCTTGATATAATGTTATTAAATGTAATATATCGTAGAGGCAATTTTAGTAATAATAATGATGATAATAATAATGATAATGATGATAATACTGATGATAATGATAATGATAATAGTAACAGTAATAACAGAAGTGAACATCCTATCCATTGTCGCACTAGTTAACATGCTTGTTAGTAGACATCTTAATAAGAGGATATCTTAATTTTCTCATCAATACCGAGTAAGAATATTACCGGATATGTTTCACAAAAAGAGTGAAATTAAAATACACATGATAAAGACATTAAAAATATATTAATATATCATTTACTTATTATGTTATGTATCAACTCACAAAGACCTATTAAATGGCGATCATAATTCGAAAAAAGATCTGCCTTTGTTATTACTAAGAATATGGTTCGGAGTACTATTCACTGTTACATGTAATAATATTTAAGCTTACTTTGCGCTTGAAATTGAAACTAGTCTTCTACAGTATAAGATTTCTGCTACTATAATTGGCATATGGCATTTTGGGTTGCAGTTGGTCATTTACATATAGATTCTGATATCTTAGCATCTACATTTTCAATGTATGAGTATATTACCATATTGTAATGTATGTTTTTGTTGAATGTGCCTGCTCTTATGTTGTTTAACCTATGCATTGCATATCAAAATTTTTAAGGTAATAAAATTAATTTATTTAGATTTAACTAGCAATATGGACATAAAAAATGAGGAGACAAAGTGTAGTATATTTAGTACACAGTGATATCAAAATATCTACCGTTTTACTTGTATGAAGGCAGTCTACTTTATATGTTAGCAACGTAAAGTAATCCATTGCAGTAATAGAATAAATAATTCAGAGTACATTGCAAGAATATAATATAAATTTTTATTTCAATTTGAAAGTAATAATGCAAGAATGTTCGGATGGTACATAGTTAAGTTGAAGGTTATAGTTAATCGTTATCACAGAGAATGCATAATATCAATAACCTTCAAAAACAACTTCTATAGTGAAAGACGGCTGGTATCCTATACATGTACGATTGGCTAAAGTAGTCTTAAATCATAATATATTGTACAAATAGTCGATTCTCAGTTAAACACTTCATTATAAATTTTATACCATAGTAACGATTTTTACAAATTCCTAATATATATTTGTAATTTGCCAATAAAAATACCAATAATATCATATACTATTCTGGCTAAAAATATCTACGTGTATTCCGGTTTATAGACATTAGCAGATCGGCTAACCTTAAATAACTGTAACTACAGTATAGTTAAACGATACTGCAACATTTTATCTGGGAATTAAATGAACAACTTATAAAGATTACACCTTCCCTAGCTCATTTACTGTGAAGCTGTCAATAGGCAGACAGTACGGTAAATAATTTGAGCCACAATCATACGTCATTATGTTTTCAATTATTTCCTTAAATAATACCGATATTCACCTATCGTAGCTTCACTGAATTGATTCAAAAATTCTCTATAACTCATCAGGTTGAGAAGCAGCGTTAGGAGTAGTGACAGAATTACCGTTCATCTATTATGAAATTTAAAATACTGTCTCTTAGTTTCTTTAGTAGTTATGTTTAGAGTACTATATCATAATCAATTTGAGCAAAATTTATCAAAATAACGATACCCTACCTTTCTATTTTCGTCAAAGAGATATTGTGGAATGCTGAATTGATCGCGGGGTATAAATTTAAGTAAATCCTTAAGGTCATCAATATACTGTAATTTACTTTTTAGTTCCGGTGCCGTAAATGTACAGAACGACCAGAAAGACCACTAAAATTTGAGGAGAAATGAGCATTATTAATATTACGTTGCTTACTTTCTAGTCTCGGAGCCGTAATTGCGCACAGCAACCAGGAAGACCATTAAAATTTGAAGGGAAATATGTATACCGAGATTATTTTGAATATAAAATTTCTTTCTATCATTATAATACCTTGAGCCACCAAGAAGGATGAACCACATAAAAGGCTTTCAAATTTTTGTGATATCTAAAATCCATAATTGTACAACTTTAGTTGACTGTCAGTGAAAATCAATAATAGTGCGCAAAGCTGGCCTACTTTGGGTCTAATGTTTGATAAACTAGCTTTAAGAAATTCGCAGGTGGACGTTGCTCAGCATTGGTTAATGTATGGAAGTAGATTGCTATATAATCGTTATCTACCATATCATCCATCAGATACGCATAATAAGAAATCGCCTATTCAATGTGATAATAAAAATATGTTAATATGAGACGGTATAAAGTTTATCGAAAATACTATTGATTTGCAACGATAATTAAGATAGTAAATGTAACCTTATTTAGATCGGTAAGATGAGCTGGAAAATTATTGCCAATGAAAACAATGACAGATCGTCCGTACTGGTCTACTCCTAATGATTTGTTACATTACACCATCAAAGAATAAACCATGACCATAAACGATTCAGAAGTTATTACCTGACTTGTACAGAGCTTTTAATTTTATAATATCTTTGGTGTCCAATGTGCGTGCTAATTTCAACCAAGTTTGGTATCTTGTTCAAGAAATGGGATAAACTTGTAACTCAAATAATTGTTTTATTATATTAATTACGTCTATATATTCAAAGTGCTATGATCAAGTTATACGAGAGCGGCTTTAACTGTAAACAGAGAATTATAAGTTTCATACCTATCAGCTAAAATTTATACAAAAATTAGAATTTATGTTACCTCTTCGCATTTTGTTGCAACTGTGAAGTCTTTTTACTTTTCGATTGTATCAATTCAGATCTTGCTATATCATGATCTCCAGCCATTTTTGAAAATGCTCGGAAGGCAGCAGAATCCGATTTTGTAAAAGTTTTTTCATCCTCTGTTTAACCGCAATTCGGAAATTAATAGATAAAATTGATATAAAGATTTCAAATATTTTTGAATATTAAGTTATAGTGTACTATACATACCTGAATTTACTATCTTGTCTTGGATACGGATTGATCGTTCTTTTATGGTTGGCTCTCCGAATTCATTGCCTTTCCAAATAGTTAAATTATCCAAATAACGAAATGTTTTAACAACAGGTATGCTACTGTTGTAATTAAAACGAATTACGGATAGGTTCTAATAAATACCGATATCTTCAGGGAGATTTTCAAAAGCATAAGCTTCTTCTTCGTTACTTCTCGGAAAATATAATACAGCCAAACGCTTATATATTTCCTGAATAAAGTTAAAACTAATACCTTTAATATCATATATATCTTCAAATAGATGGTACGGCATTTCGCACAATACCAAACACATGCGTACAGGACGTACATATTTGTCAAGTCTGAATTGTATTGGCAATTATTATTTTATTGATGTTATATATCGTACCATTTCCGTATCATCCAAGATAAGGATAACTGTTTCGAGTGTACAACTTTGGTGCTCTAAGTACCTTCTGACAGTTCCTACAAAAATAATTCCATAATTAGTAATAAATACCTATAAGAGTTTTTATTAAACTCATATGTAATTAGTGATTGCTATGAATATTGAAGATGGACAGTGTAATATTTTAGTGCTCACTTAGTGCTATATGTGCTCCCTCAGATACTGGGAAACCACGTTGATGAAGATGGACGGTAGGAATAGCGATTGATCGGACCTTGTACTCGCTAACGTAAGAAAATTTTATGCAACGTCAGAGGTAGGCAAGCGGTAGACATTGAGATAAATAAGGGGATTATTTACCCTGCAATTAACAAGGACGATCTATAACTCCTGTAAAGCGCATTTTCTACAGCCGACAAGTATCTAGGATTGTATTTTGGACCAACCGTATGAATAACATATCTAAAATACAAGTGAAATAATGGGTAAATTATTACTGGTGTCACATTGGTACGACAGTCATTTCCTTAGAGCACGATACAAAAGGCAGTAGTTGCTACACTCTGTTGCAATTACAATAATTATACACACTTCCAACCTTGATGGTAAATTATAGCCCTTGGATAATTTCGATTCTCCAGTAGCACATTCTGTAAGAATAACAAATACGTACAATAATTATACATTACGGCTTATATTGAGAATGAATCACATACAAAATCAACGAAGATATAATACTGTTGTAATCATGACCTAAACTAAGCAAAAGACTACAAGTTAATTATTGGGTTTCTTTTACTTTTTCCTTGAAAATCTAATATTACATTCCTGCTAGCTACTTACTGCCAATCTCATCACGTATATCTCTATGTAAACTTGGTCCTGCAATTTCGAATATTTTCTGGTTGATTGGAGACATGACAGAAAGATTTTCGTTCGTAGGATTAACAATAGCATCTACCTTTAGTGTAGTAATATCACCAGTCCTAAAATAAGACAAGATCCATTCAGAGTACCGAAGTAATACCATATGATAAGTTCAGCATTCCAATTTCTTAAAATTGGCAGCATGATACAAATAACATCTTTCAGTATAATAAAAATATGATATTACGCTCAAAATTTATGCTAACTTTTTCCTGACTTACCATAGGACCAACTTTTGATTTATATTGGAACAATATTGAAATGGTGATTGTTTAGAGGGCTGGATGTCTGGATATGAAGGCACTATACTTTCATGCCATGTTTTCAAAACTGACACTTCTATTAAATTTTTAGCAACACCTAATGGATCTATTGAAGCGGCCATATCTCGGTTGTGATTACCTTTCTTGGCGATGAAGTATTTATTCAAGTATTATATCGATAGAGCATCAACTTTAAGACATAAAAGTAAAAAGTATGGCTTTATTAGCAAAGAGAAAATAGGTATATGAAATGTTATGTTTAACGGTAATTCTATTACTATACCATTATTAAGAATTGAAGTGGCATGTACTGCATTTATTTAAGCATAAACGTACTAGTTAGTACTTATTAGTATGCGAAATTGTATAGGCGTATACTGTAAGTTTGAGTACGTAACGCTAAGCTTTGCTATGATACATAATTACGCGTATATATAATCTGCAATATGATGGATAGCGGGTAGTATTTAAAGCGCAAGAAAAAAAGAGATTAATCAGCACTTTATTGTTACTATAATCGTTTGATTAACCTACAACCTGTTTATTGCATGCTCTCCTATTTTGCAACATTCCAGCTATACTCTGCTACGGGTTTTCTTTTGCTAACAACGAACTTGGCATATCGTACCATTTCAAATTGAAACTTGTACTGTATATAACAGCAATATTACGCAGTGAGTCTATCATGATTTAAGCTTAAAAATTTTTCAAGTACGGTACTTGACATGATCTCACATTGCATCATTAATAGTTGGTACTATCGACACGAAATGACCATCAGTTGCACAAAGTAGCAATGTTTAATGATCGTTCTGGCTTCCTTTCAATGTATCAAAATCATGATTCTACGCGTAAAGCTTGCTACTAGGCATTACGAAGATGATCGCTCTATCACAATATCATTATGGAGTTACGTGTATGAATGAAAAAAAAAAAATATATGAACCTTAGCGCGGCGGATTCTAGCTGACGGTATGACACTAGTACTGTAAAGCCATATTTGCAAGTCATGGCGATTAGTCTTGTCGAAAGTTGGTTCTCAACTTTGCCCTATACTGTAGTCCAATTCGATATTACGGAAGGAGGGGTTTCACGAATGACATCGGTTACACATTATTGTCTTCTAGAAATTGAATGAGGGGAATTCATAATGGCTGTCTGGTGTGTACTGTATAAAATGGAATGTAGGAGAACAGGCGGTTGTGTACGACGTAATAATAATGTAGTTAGCAATGTCTCCAGGATACTCTACTTGCCGATGCATAATCGTATAGTAATCGTGCCCTATCCAATCCAATCGAATGACAGTTATTACTGCAGCACCGCGGATGAGTAAAGCTTGATCATTCACTTCATGTGTTTTACTATACTTAGGAATGACTATATTAAGTGATTATGGCGGATAAAGATTACCGTATTCATCATTAGTACGTACTTCTATTTCGGATTTAGGATGGCGATGATACTCTACTTATACAATCGCGTTATCATGCTGTCGCTGCTGCTCCCTATCCATTAACCATTGTAAACAATCTTTTTAAATCTACAGTCCAATAGTTGCTACATGTAGTAGAGTACTACATTATCATGCATCCATGCATGTCGTTAGCAATGGTTGTTGTATGAAACGATTATCATAATGGTCAGTCTTTTCCATATAGAGCATCATTGGGGATGGCGCAACGTATTCTATCGGTAGCTACTGATTATCTTCTCCTATTGATTGTAATCAACTACATGTTTATCTACAAATATGTACTTATAAAGTTCGAAAATGACCACAAAGTGCTTAATAGACTGTACTGCTGTGTTGACTTTGGTTCGCCTTCTCGAACTCGTGTATTTGCGATTTAATATGCTTACCCATACATACTCATGAATTGATTATTGATTATCGTTCGGTACTTATTGCCATCGACCAACCTATTGGCTACATCTTTCTCTTTATCTACTCGTATCCTACAATGGATAAGTTACTCATGAACATGTTATCCCGTAGTGTAAAAATATTGAGCTAAATTGATCTATTCCGAATATATGTAGTACACTTTGGATATCCGCTGATTTACAGTGCTTTCGATAGTTTATTGCGCGTCTACGCTTAATGATAATGATCATTATCAGACATTGGCGCAATTGTGAAAGTTATGTTCTTGAAAACGGAAAGCAAGAAAACAATATTAACATTATATCCTAGACCTATTCATTTCCTCTCTCTATATATACATACATTACCTAGGTAATGATCTTATCGATATGACTATTGGTGGGAAATTAGCCTATTGAAGAGAAAATACCAAGCTCCAACCAGGAAAAGCTGATCGATGTACTGCATTCAGTGATTCAGTCAGTGGATCGCAATTTGTCTCCAGTGGAGAAAGTTCGATTATATTTTCGCCCGCGGCTTCTCATACAACTACAGTACAGTGGTAAAATTGGAAACTCACTGCTTCTTTGATACAGGACTGTAGTAACGTACTGTACTGTAATGGTTGATTTTGTAGTAAAATTTGAAACTCACTGTTTCTTTGATACGGGACTGTAGTAACGTAATGTACTGTACAGTATGTACTGTAATGGTTGATTTTCACGTGACCAACATCAGGCAAATGTCTACTGTACTGTACTGTTATAAGCGTCTAAGGCACCTCGCTCGAGCACTGTACAGTGTACAGTGTACAGTACTGGACTGGACTCTGCTTGTGCTTCTTACTCATACTGTACAGTACAGTAAAGCGCAATGCACATGGACATCGGACGACCAGACACTTGTCCTATTGCAATATCGTCTTCCACTATTTCAAACATTTCTGTTCTTGTTCAGTCAATGTACTGTATAGTACTGTATAAGCATCTAAGGCACCTCGCTCGAGCACTGTACAGTGTACAGTGTACAGTACTGGACTGGACTCTGCTTGTGCTTCTTACTCATACAGTACAGTACAGTACAGTACTGTACTGTACGGTACAGTGTACAGTAAAGCGCACATGGACATCGGACGACCAGACACTTGTCCTATTGCAATATCGTCTTCCACTATTTCAAACATTTCTGTTCTTGTTCAGTCAATGTATAGTACTGTATAAGCATCTATAAGGCACCTCGCTCGAGCACTGTACAGTGTACAGTGTACAGTACTGGACTGGACTCTGCTTGTGCTTCTTACTCATACTGTACTGTGTGTACTGTACAATGTACATTACAGTAAAGCGCAATGCACATGGACATCGGACGACCAGACACTTGTCCTATTGCAATATCGTCTTCCACTATTTCAAACATTGCTGTTCTTGTTCAGTCAATTTACAGTATAGTACTGTATAAGCATCTAAAAAGGCACCTCGCTCGAGCACTGTACAGTACAGTGTACAGTGTACAGTGTACAGTACTGGACTGGACTCTGCTTGTGCTTCTTACTCATAGTGTACAGTAAAGCGCAATGCACATGGACATCGGACGACCAGACACTTGTCCTATTGCAATATCGTCTTCCACTATTTCAAACATTGCTGTTCTTGTTCAGTCAATTTACAGTACTGTATAAGCATCTACAGTACAGTAATAAGGCACCTCGCTCGAGCACTGTACAGTGTACAGTGTACAGTACTGGACGGGACTCTGCTTGTGCTTCTTACTCATACTGTACAGTACAGTACACTGTACAGTACAGTACAGTACTGTATGTCATAATTCATGGTGCTAAAAATTTTACCAGCCATAGTATGCACATACAGTACCATAAACGGAAACGCCTGATTGCGTATACAGTACAGTAGAGTACTGTACAGTACAGTACTGTATACTGTAGCTATGAATTACAGTACAGTACTGTACTGTACATGCAGTCCACGATTAGTACTGTAGTACTGGTCTGATACCCCCAATCACTAAAAATCTTGTTTACATAGCAACGGTTGCTATAGTGATTGTTAACCATGAAACAGGCCAATGTGTTTCATTTCCAACAGTAGTAAAGACTGCAAGGTTTTCTATCGATGGCATAATAGTCAATGTTAAGATACCTGTATATACAGTACAGTACTGTACAGCAATACTGCTTTGACCATTGCTATATACGCTCATAGAAGTTAGAATCATTATCGCATATCAATAACATCCTTGAAAGTTACTGCACCCTTAATTTTTTGCTAATTTTGCTTGTTCAGTTGTAAACTGTGGTGAGTCGCGCAAAGATGGGAAAAGATTATTACAAGATATTGCAAATAACTCAAAATGTAAAAAGCCAAGATATCAAAAAAGCGTAAGTTCCTATTTGCATCCATTTATTGTACATACATGGATATACTATAATTTCAGATTGTTAGTCATGATAGCAGGAAAAAGTTGACCCATATTCTATTAGTAATAAGATACAATCATCCAAACTGAAAATTACGTGTTAAATAATGATATACTCAGTTATGCATCATATTCAATCAGAGTGTTTGGTAATTGAATCAGTTTATAAACTATCTTCTTACGAGCTGAAATGTTAAAAATTAGAATGTACAATAGGCGATGTCTAGTAAAGCATCAATATAGATAGCAAAGACATGATTTTTTAAATAGAAGCAGCATCATATGTAGCCTAATACTTGTTGCCATTTTATTTCTATTCGTATATAGGTATCGCAAGTTTGCATTAAAATATCATCCAGATAGAAATACAGCCATAGATGCTGTAGATAAATTTAAAGAGGTTTCTGAAGCTTACGATGTGTTAAGCAATGGTCAGTGAAAATATGATGCATTTATATTGGAATATTATATCGACCCCCAAAATACATTTAATATAGCACAATCGTGTAGACTGTAGACTGATAGTATAGAAAGTGAGCACTACTAATGGCCCTATTGTAGTCAAATCGAATAACAAAATATCAACCTCTACTTTACAGGGATAAGAAGAGCGATATATGATCAGTATGGAGAAGAAGGGCTCAAAGCTGGCGTTCCTATGTCTGAAGCAGAAGGTATTACTAACTTAGCAATTCTATCATCAAATGTCTTAGTCATAGATTTTCATTTATATGGGCATATTTTAGTGTATAAAAATCCTTTCGATTTATTATTGCATTATTAAGCCTTCATCTTCACTACATTAGGTCAAACATTTACTGAAGGTTATGTTTTCCACGGAGATGCTGAAAGAGTCTTTCGGGAATTTTTTGGTGGAAATAATCCTTATGCTGGTGCGATTTTTGAGCATCAAACATCAATTACTAGCAAATTAGAAATTTGTACTAAATGATTATAAAAAATATACGTACACTTACCTATAGATTATTTTCAACCTGAATCTGATGCGGATATGGGTTTCGGTGGAATTCGTGGAAGGGGACGAAAGAAGCAAGATTCTCCAGTAGAAAAAGAATTATTACTATCATTAGAAGAACTTTATACTGGTTGTATTAAGAAAATGAAAGTTTCTAGAAGGGTAAGAAAATCTGAAGAGTAAATCAGTCCTTATGGGAGTAATCACTATTGCTGTTATTGTTGATTATAACTTAAAATCGGCGTTATTACTATTAGGTTTTAAATGATGATGGCCATACTACTAGTATAAGAGAAAAAATCCTTACGATTCCTGTGAAAAAAGGTTGGAAACCTGGCACTCGTATTACTTTTCCACAAAAGGGAGACGAAGGTCCCAACAATATTGCTGGTGAGTTGCTCATAGAAATCATTTTTGTGTGTAGGCTAATTTTGCTCTGTAATTGCCTAACTGTTTCCCCGTTTTTTCTGTTAGCCGATATCGTATTTATTGTCAAAGATAGAGAACATGATAGATTCACTCGAAGTGAAGTTGATCTTTGCTACAAAGCGAAAATTTCTCTAGCAGACGTAAGCTTGTTCTAGTTGCTTCCGTAAACGAACGAATAAAAATTATATAATGTATTAATACTTCTTTACCTAATCATATAATAGGCTCTAGCAGGATGTTTAATCGAAATTCAGACTCTTGATAATCGCATTCTTAGCATTCCCATAAATGAAATTGTTAAGTAAGTTTCATTCATAATACGGAGTTAACCTTTACATGGCATCCATCGACTTTAAATAAATTGTCAAATATAAAATTAATTTGTTTCAATGTTATATTTTAGACCGGGATTTACTAAAACCGTTCCTGGTGAAGGTATGCCTATTTCTAATGAATCGAACAAGAAAGGAAATTTAATTATTGCCTTTGATATAATCTTTCCGAAGCATTTAACGCCAGAAAAGAAGAGTATGGCTCGGAAAGCCTTAAGTTAGGCTTATACTTGATGTATCACTACTTGAAAGTTTGATTTCAGAAAATTATACAAAAATTCCGGTTAAAACACGTCAATTTCTGAACATTTTTATCTTAACTTAAGATTATTGTATTAATCAATTTCGGCCATAAGTTTATACTAAATATTATAGTGAATTATAAATTTGAGAAAAACACTGTAATGATTCATAATTCCTAAATTGCTACCATATAAAAACAATATATAGTGCATCTACCGAAGGTGATTCTGAGCTCAGATGGTGTATGATACGTATCATTGATGACACACATAGCATGTAATCTGTAGCACCTCTATGTATAAGCTATCTGCAACGATTTTAAATATATGTGTAAATATTATTATTAACAATTAGAGAAATCCTTTCCATAAACAGTTATAAGTTTATTAAAAATTATCCGTTTTTTTAATCAACCTTTAGAAAGAATTAGATATTGGTTGTTATTTTAGATATCACACATTAATTAAACTCACTTATTGAAAGTCTTTAAGCAGGTTTCATACGTGAAGCCTTATAGTAGACTATTCATTGCGAATTTTTTAATTACTCTACAGTGAAAAATAAATATAATTAAAGTAAAGATTGCATCAACATCAGACAAGCATTCAAGTAAATGGATCTTGATTTCAGTATTGGTACTCATAGACTTAGATGCGATACCTAAACCAAGGACGTATGATATAAAATAGTTCAATATTTATGATTAAAAGTTAACGTTTGTGTAAAATCGAATAACAAGTTATACCGAAAACTTAGCAAAGAAACTTTCCTTACTTTAAAAGTATTAAAATACCGCATAGATGTTGGCCACATCATATTATTAAATGCAAGAGCGAGTAACAGAGTGGAATAAGCATGATTGGAAGCCTCTAGTGTATATACAGTAGGGTCTTTGTACCATTGGTGGAAAAGATTTCTAGAACTACAAATTTTTCAGTTAATAAAGTTTAGTTGTACATACCTGTATATACGTGCACAGAAAATGAGATTAATAGACATCAGTTTGATAATACATGTACTAATAATTAACTTCAACAAGGTCTAAATTACCTAGGTTGACTTGCTGCATATAAATCGATGTATAAAAGTTTTATTACAGGAAAGAGAAATAAATCTGCTGTAATAAATGCATTGAAAATGATGAGATTGAAAGGACACATGCCAAATTGCAGATGCTAATAAATCCATCTAATATTCAAATGTCAACTACCATTATGATCGAGGCGTGTTTCAGAAAAATTGTTATGTAATTGATTTCTGCAATTAGTGGCTATTTGAAGATCCGTATTAAAAAGCCAAATCTATATTAAATAAAAACAATAGCGAATTGCCTCATATTGCAAGTATAAATTATTGCAAAGCATTAAAATTAATTCTCCATAACAATAAATACACATATTGAACTACTGCACGCAAAAAGTTGTCAAGAACTTTAGTCTTACCATTAACTTAGTATCAGAACATCCATTACATTTGTTTATGATAAATCGAAAGTGGTTATTTTCTTTGCAAAGCTTGTATAACAACGTAGCGAAATAAGTTTGTACTCTCCTAATTTAGGACGGGTTATTAGAAAAAATATTAAGCCGGATATTACCATCCCGTACTTGTATAATCTTTCTAATACATGTGAAACATTGTTACAATGTTACAATTATAAATACATAAGTGAGAAACATTATGTATAGTAGTAAAAATTGAGAAAGACTACAACAAGGTGTGTGATGCTGTCGAATTGTTTGGTTGTAACTTAGTCGTATTATAAAAGCAGGTGAATACTAAACCATGGAAATACTTGCTTATACCATAGAAAATGGCTAGCTCTGAAATTTACAGAGGTAAATGCGAGTATTAGTAAATAGAAAGCTATAATATTAGGAACATCATCAAATTATCCTATTTTAACGCATTGTATATTTGAGTGCATGGACTAAGTAAAAACTATTTGACGATAAAAATCCGAAAGTATTCGACGTATCTTACTACTCTCCTCACCTTTCTACTACTAAAATGTCCTTGGATAATTTCAGAAATGTTTCATCTGCAATTAGAACATACAAATCTAAACATTTTTATGAAACCATTATTATGGATATGACACTTTTCAAGATGGTTAAACCCTCACTAATTTACTTGCAATAATAGTAACAACACTTAATATGATTTACAGTTGATATACAGTATATACCGAATAATCGGGTAATTCCTTGCCAACCAATCATTGTCAAGCATCTGCTACAAGAGAGCTAAAAATTGAAGGACTTCTATTAAAGGTAGCTTTATATAAAAGATAATAAAGTTAATCTTGGATTTATAATGCAATGACTGTAGACAATCGTTATTCTTGTCCTATTTTAGGTAGCAGTTATATTGTAATCTGGTGCTAGAGAATATACTTAACATCTATGACTAGTAGAGATGTAATCTAATCAATTGTAACATCTAAGCATTGAGTCATTGCCCATTAAAATCATGGACTTGATCATTTGCAATAACAGTTGATTTTATGATTTAATGTCGTGATTGTCTGTTTCATAAACTGTCATGTACTCTAATCATTTCTGCTCTATCTACACATGTTATATGTACAGCATATTAGATCAGGTCAGCCAATACATGTACGTCTGTGTATCTACGCGTATACACAAATATACAAAACTTTTGTTCAAAAGCTAATGGTTGCGCAAATACTATTATAATGCAATAATTCGCCACTGTTATTTCTACTACTGTTTTTGGTTTGTTACATGCAGTTACATTTCTAGATTTACGTACAACTTTGCTTTCATCATTCAGATGCTTAACGGCAGTAGGAGCTATATTGCATTCACTTAAATAAATGCTGGTTTCGTTTTTTAAACAAGTGTTGCGGTTATTGGTCACCAATTTGGCTGGAGTTGAAGTATCACTGGGATGGCAATACCACATTGCTGTCATCTCGCTCCAATTTTCTGATGGTAGAGGTAAGATTTTAGCGATGGGCCTACGAATCGCAAACATTCCGAGACTATCATTATAAATCAGCAAGTAGACAATTTCACAGTGTATGCAGCAGATACTGGACGTGTATAATGTGCAAGACTAATCAGAATTAGCCGTTCTCTCGTTGGTATAGCGATACGCGTACAGTATGCTAAGTAAAAAAGCTCCAAAGAATTTGACATTTAAAATCAGTTAACTTCGACTCTACAGTAGCTTACTTAAGGCTAATATTTCTTGTATGATTGAAAGTGCATTACGGCATATGACGAGTGAAATGTAACATAGACTAGTTATAAACTACTCAACATAGTGCACTGGTAACATTTTTTAGGCTTCTTCTTTTTATAACATCACCTATCATCAGGTATGATATTGTTCATACAGTTCTTGCAAAATAAACCACTGATCAAGGGCTCTTGATCATCGTAGCGATCTGGAATAGGATCTAGTAAAATTTGGTCATTACTTGAAATTTGATAAAGTTTATTAACTTTGAGTTTAATGTGGATTTCGCCATCTTTCCCAACATTAAGCTGGAGTAATTGATCGGGTTGATATTGAAATGACGTCAGTTGAGGGAATAAATTTTGAATATGATTGGAATATTTATTTTGTATGCAAATGCTCGCTTTATTAATTACAATCTTGAAACTACATTTAATATCTCTATTGGGGATTGAAGCTATTTTTAAAACTATATCTACTGTATTAATATTAGGTGTAATTGATAAAAAACGTATTATAAAATTAGGATCCATAAAATGAGATGGTCGGGTATCAAGCAACTGCATAGCGATTGTGTATTCTCAGCTGCAGTACCGGTACCGGTTATACCGGCTTGCAGCTGGGCTCAATCCTGGATATACTGTAGAACATCAGACGAGCAGGATATTCAACGGGTCCTGCTACTGGTTTGGAAGGCACTGATTGTAACTGAGTGTAATAGCTGTTTATCGATGAACTGTATGAGACTATGCCTGACTGACAAGGAAAATGATGTATCACTACTAGCAATTGGTGCGGAACGACTGCTGGATTCTAATAGACTTACTAAACTTCGGACTGAATAATAGCTTAAGCACGGAGAACGAAATGGTGGTATTGTTTTTTTGCCATAGAGGTAATGGAAAATGACTTCCATGATTTTGCTAAGGGTGCTGCTCTACGGCTTTACTGTCCATTGCATTGGTCTGGAATAGACCTGAGAAAGGTTCGGCTGTGCTAATCATCTCTGCAAGGATATTTACGTATACTGTGCTGTAGCTTTCCGTTTCAGTATCGACAAGGGACTCTAGTTTTTCATTTTTACACTCACTTTTTTGTGGAGTAGCCTCTGACTGGTAGGCATGCACTACCTGAAGAAGAAGACCTGGGCTGGACTGATCACTCTTGGACGGACAGACACTCTTGGCCTCATCTCGTTAAAACATTGCGCCAAACACCTGATTGTGACAGTGCTTTAGTATGGAGACGATCGATTTTAAATTGACAGATTTTTTTAAATTAAGTCATATCACATTCAATGTTAAAAGAAAAATATTTCTATAAGATCGTCGATGTTATTTAAATTAATGCCAGTGATTCAGACACGAAAGATCCATACTAACTAATACTTTTTCGATATTACGGTCACATTTGGTCCAAAAATCCGTCTGTCTGAGTGAGTGATGACGGACCAGTCCCAAGTCTGCCTGTAGTACAGTACTGTACTGTACTGTACACTGTACACTGTACAGTCTCTACCTCAAATGATGTCACCCCTGGCAGCATCCTTTCTTTCAGTTGGTAAGACAGTCCAAAAATCCGTCTGTCTGAGTGAGTGATGACTGACCAGTCCAAGTCTGCCTGTAGTAGTCCATGACTGCAGTGTACTGTACACTGTACAGGTCTCTACCTCAAATGATGTCACCCCGGGTAGCATTCTTTCTTTCTTTCAGTTGGTCAGACAGACTTTCCAATGATTCAGAAACATACTGTACTGTACAGTACAGTAAGTTAAGTCTACAGTACAGTATACTGTACAGTAGTACAGTACATAGTCGATGTCTACAGTACAAGCCATCGTGATATTACAGTCACATTTGGTCCAAAATCCGTCTGTCTGAGTAAGGGATGACTGACCAGTCCCAAGTCTGCCTGACTGCAGTGTACTGTACTCCCGAGTGTACTGTACACTGTACAGTCTCTACCGCAAATGATGTCACCCCGGGTAGCATTCTTTCTTTCAGTTGATCAGACAGACTTTCCAATGATTCAGAAACATACAGTAAGTTAAGTCTACAGTAGGTAAGACAGTCCAAAAATCCGTCTGTCTGAGTGAGTGATGACTGACCAGTCCAAGTCTGCCTGTAGTAGTCCATGACTGCAGTGTACTGTACACTGTACAGGTCTCTACCTCAAATGATGTCACCCCGGGTAGCATTCTTTCTTTCTTTCAGTTGGTCAGACAGACTTTCCAATGATTCAGAAACATACTGTACTGTACAGTACAGTAAGTTAAGTCTACAGTATAGTACAGTACAGTACTGTACTGTACTGTATGTTCTATTACAGTACAGTACATAGTCGATGTTTACAGTACAAGCCATCGTGATATTACAGTCACATTTGGTCCAAAATCCGTCTGTCTGAGTAAGGGATGACTGACCAGTCCCAAGTCTGCCTGACTGCAGTGTACTGTACTCCCGAGTGTACTGTACACTGTACAGTCTCTACCGCAAATGATGTCACCCTGGGTAGCATTCTTTCTTTCAGTTGGTCAGACAGACTTTCCAATGATTCAGAAACATACAGTAAGTTAAGTCTACAGTATAGTAGAGTACAGTACAGTATGTTCTATTACAGTACACAGTCGATGTCTACAGTACAAACCATCGTGAAGGGGTGACATCATTTAAGGTACAGACTGGCTACAGTTTGCTGGTTTCGCATCACACCATGCGCACTCCGCCCGACAACAGTGTTTACCTTAATACAGTATTTGTTTTGTTGCGTTGTTGCGAGGGGCGATAGCTGCTAGCAGAGTACTGTAGTCTACAGTACAATATACTATCGCACTATTTTACTGTATCATTCATCTACGAGCTAATATGCTGCAGTATAGCCTCTATTACCGCTGATGGACGGTACAGTAAATTATCACAGTACATTACACTGTGTAGTTAGAGAAGGTCCACCAGTACAGAGTCATACCCTACGCCAAAGTCAAATGTCATAGTGTGCACTGTACAGTATGTTCAGTACGGTGCACAGTTCCCTCCCCCCACTGTAACCATCAAAAGTACAGTACTGTACACTGTACTATAGATGCCCTTCACCATCGCTGGTCATACCTGTTATATTACGCTACTGTATGTACATCAAGCTCTTTAGGTTGCAATTCAAAAATTGACAAAATTCGCTGTTGAAATCCTCAAGAATAATTTTTTTAAAAGTATCTACTCACATATAATCATGGATGATTTTCAATCTGCTGAAGAGGTACTTTCAGTAAATTGACTGTTGTTACTTTGAACTACGATTGTTGATTGGTGATATTTAGAATTATTCTTAATATTACGAAAGTTTTACAAACTGTTGTCAAAGCGTCCTGTGGTGGACAGTCCTACTTCACATTACAAGTAGAACACTGTACTGCATTTGAATTTGAATTTACCTCCTGTCGGGAGTAGTTCACGATCATTGAATCAAAACTTACTTTTTTCTATTTTTTCAACCGTAATTGATCGATCTTGACTATTTCTAATTTTTTCAAATCTTAACGTAGACGTCTTTCGTCGTGGATGAAGTTAGTAATATCATCAAGGAGGTAAGATGAACGGTCATACTGTTGGAGTGTTATTTGCTAGTATAAATTCGTGTAATAAAGTGTCGAAATACGGTACCGTCTATAGGGAAACTTCCAATCTATATTGACTAGCTATAACTGACTGTCAGTAAAGACAGCCTGAATGTATCGTAAATGACTATGCATCATTTCTTAAGAAGACAATATAGATAATTTGTTCAGAGATGAGTTAAAGAATTCCTCTTTACAGTACGGTACTAACATACAAGCGTACTGTAAAAAGATTTCGTATTCTACACGTAAGTCTATGATATAACAACTTGACAATCATTCGTGGAAATGCTTTCAGAGTGTCGAAAATACTTTGGGTGGAAATGCTTATCAACACAGTAAAATAAACCAGTGGACCTCCACTATTGTTGAACAATGCTTAAATCAATTGACTAGGCTAGGAAAGCCTTTCAAATATATTGGTAAATATTACGCTTTGCAATTACAATCATGTTGTCAGGATCCTCTAGTCTACCAACTTAAACTTATTTGAACTATTTAATAGTGGTCTATAATAAATTTCTTTTCTTGCTTTTTTATAATCAATCCAGATAATGTTTAACACGTTAACGGTGATAATTTTTCTAATTTATAGTTACATGTGCCATTATGCAGAAGAATGGTGCTGGTCTTCACACAGCGAGTTCTTGCTTCTGGGATAATTCGACTGATGGCAGTTGTACCGTTAGATGGGAAAATAAAAGCATGTATTGTATTGTCAGTGTTTTTGGACTAGCTATTTAGGCGATAGTTTGCTTACTCTCAGACATGTACAGTATTTATAACTTCAGATATTTACTAAAATTACCTTTCGACTCTATACGACCAACCTGTAATATCGTTTAGTGCTTCAGTAAATACTACTCAATTATTTTGTTACATTCTTTCGTGTTTTAAAATACAATTTTAAAGATTCACGTACGTTATGAACCAATTAGATTTTAACATACTTCTTAGTAGTGAATTACATCATCTAATAACTAAACATACGCGTAATGTAGTAGGGTGGATACCAATCATAATAACCTGTAATGCACTGTTATACTTAATGATTGGATAAAATTGATTCAATAAAAATATTTTAAACGTGATTCTGTTTATATGTGCACAATGCAAAATGCATTTACCTATCTATACCCAACTGCCTAATGGCAATTTGTTGCTTTTACATGCATTTGTACAATCGCGCTTAATGTAGTAAATAATTTTTTAACTGATTTTTAAGAGTGATTCGAATACTTCCATTAACTATGCAAATTAAATTGAAGGACCTAGGACGAAAAATCTGTCGTAGTTGAAAGCACTCTGTAATCATTATTAATTGTCCTTTGCTGTCTTGTAATGATCGTCTTACAGATCTAATAGGTAGCGTCCATTACATTTCAGGCTTTAAAGGGGTATAGGTGCAGATTTGATATCAATCTATTAAAACACGTCAGACCGCAGAATTGAGCTTCGATAGCATAGTAAAATTGATGGTGAAGAACGATAACTTTTTATTATTTAAAAAGGTCGAAATAATAGGTACATTGATATCGACGTTATATAACAATAATTTGTGGTTGTCAGTCATTTACTGCAACTCTAATTTAACCAATCTCTAGGGTCGGTAATCGAGTAGTTTACATTTAGTATATTTTGAGATTATGTACGCCACAATTATAAGTTGATGTGGGTCTCTCATTAACACAGAATTACAATTTTGTTGCACACATTTCATGTAAATAAATAGAATATCGTTATTAAGTCGGGTTAATTTCGCAAATCTTTGCTCATGCCCTAAAAATCAATGATAATGCAAAATTTAGTAAATGCATCATCTAAATCGTTGACTAAAGTTACTTTTCATAAAAGGTAAATTTTAACAAACCTCGATAATACTAAGTTTAGTGGCATGCTGTCGATTCATATAGGAGGTTCCAGTTTTTACTGAGTCTTTGTGAATTAGATAATCTATTCTAATATCACGTAAAAATCCACCTGACAACTCGCACAAAAACGATTCCATCATCTTCTCAAGTCCCGTTGCGTAAGCTAAAGTTTTAACGAACTGCTTCCTATATTAAAAAATATCGTAAATTCTTTCAATAAAATTCACATGCCCTATTTTGTAGTTGAACTAATAACGAATTCTCTCTGTAAGCTTAGCGATTAAAATTCGATAATGCCGTGTGTGCCTAATGATGCACTTATAGTCAACTTCAACTAACTACGTCTAATTTGAGCTAAACTGTGCTAGTTAAGTGTAAAATATACTATAAAATTAATTAAAGAAAACTGTTAACCCTGGTCACTGTAATAACAAAACTCGTGATAGTTCATTTAATATTAATCTGTAATCAATACTAAATAGTTCCTTAAAAATTTTACCCTATCAAAAGATTAATTGTATCGGCACCGCTTCGTTTAGTCCATAAAGCAATCTTATCTTCTCTTCGTCGAGAAAGTACTGCGTTAATGGAAACAAAAGTATTATTATAAAGAAGAATGCGATACTAAATAATGAGTACATAAAACGTACCCGCACCACAAATTTCATCATTGTATTCAAAGTGTCCACCAACAAGGGCCATTAACTATTAAATTTGGCAATCAAAGTTTAACATTCCAATAATTAATTTATACATTTGCAATTGGACTGTTTAAAGCTTATTAATAAGTACCAATTCATTCCATAGATTGTTTACTAGGTCCGGATGTGATTGTCCAATAGTCATTACCCATTTTCCTCCCTAAAATAGCAGGAAGAGCAACATTGAGATATATCTTCAAATACAAATATTACGAAGGTAAACTCACATCCTGATTAGCTTTATCTTCCCACATTGGCTTTATACCTTTCTGTATAAATATACGAAAATCTTATTGAATAAAAGCTGCATCGCAAAAATAGCAATACTCGTGTAAGTCAAGCAGCGAAATAAAAAATTTACAGACTTTAAAAAAGTGATAGTTCGATCGTTCTGAGAGTATACTTGGAGGTTTCAAATGATGTATGGTACCCCAAAAGTTTTCAACCTGAAGATTATATTTGATTAAATGGTATTAGATTGCAATGCATAGCACTGTATGGACTAGAGATGACTACCGAAAGGAAACTCTAGCATAAAAGATGATTATCATGCAAATAAAATTTTTACCGTAGTAATAACATTTATAATGTTTAACGAATCTTGATAAGATGTGGAATCTTGTTTGACAGGCTTAACATTGCCTCTTGAGGGGCAATCGTACCAGAAGCACCAGTTACAATAAAGCTGATGTGTTTCTGGATTTCGAATTTTCTTGTTAATATTCTTCTTAATTTTCTTAACTGAGTCTTGGATGCATTCGTTTAGGTCCTGTTTGTTGTTATCTAAGTTCATATTTTCCTTTTCAGATTTGTCACAATCACGCTCTGTACTGACACCAACGTGTTCTATATTTTGATCTTTATTAGTAACTATCTTGTCAGCATCAGCAAGATATACCCTAGATGCGGCGTGATTTTTAACGTCCTCCAATGATTCACACCCACACATTATCTGAGGTGCTACATTTTTATCATTAAATGTGTGTTCTGCATCTTTCAGTTGAACAGAAACGGCATCCAGTAAATCGTCTGCATTCGATGGGGTTACGTGCATTTTATAGTTGATATTTGAACTTTTATGTATAGTTTCAACAGGTACTTTATCATTATCTTTATGATTACCATCGTAAAACTGATCAGAATTTATGCATTCCACATCAGTATGGCTGACAATTTTATCACGATCCCCCAAAGAGACTGCCTTCATCGTTACAGCTTGTGAAGTCGCATCATTAATAAATAGGCGTTCTGCGTTAGTACTACTATCACATTGCTCTGATTTGGAGCTGGTTTGATCATATGTTGGACTGCATCTAAAAATACAAGAAAAATCCACACATATTCTTTAAAACTGTTACAGTTACTTAGGCTTGTAATTATAATCGAAAATACGCAGGTCTAACAAAATTACCTCTCAACAATTCCACTATCTGGCGATGTGGTCCTTTGTTGTTCGTTTGTATTTTTTTTCAGTTGGTGATTTGATTGAATACCATCTTTTCCTGTGCTCGATTGCATGCGATTCTACAAGTTACAATATCAGAATGTAATAAGTTCATGAAGTGAGTAATTAGTCTTACAAGTCACAAACATGACACAAGCTAAAAAGTTGTATAGTAATTGACTAATAAAATATCCTCGAATAATGTACTGTACTTGATTTCTATGTACATGTTATATGATCGCAGTAAACCAATTTGCCATATAAAAATTAAATCGTACAAACCACTTTGAGATATTGATCCTTGTATTTTTGATTACTTCTCTTATCTGCACTTTGCTTTCTATAATATATTTAAGTTGAAATTCAGTTTTTTGCTATGCTTTTGCTTCATCTCAATCACAGGTATATTGCAAGATGACTGACTAAAATTGTTAATTCCATACATATCACAGTTATGCGCCAAAAAAATCAGACTTGCCTCGGTCCTCTTTCACGATGGCCATCAGTAGGATGTCTGCGTCTCATATTTCCATTATTTCTAAACGAGGGATTGCTTTGACTGTTAAATCTTATTTAATTAATAGTATGATTATGCGTTAGAGATTCGAAATAATCAAATACATTGGTAATTGAAAGATAATTTAGAGAATGTGTCATTACCCACTGGAAAAGGAATATAGTATATGTCTATATGATGAAACAATACAACATATGAAATTAACTCGGTTTATAGCTCTTTTGTAATTGCTTCTTGTACTAGCCGTGAGCAGTAGACAATGTTTAACAAATTTTAAATAGTAATCTCTTGGAAAAGGAATTTTGGTACTGACGCATACAGTAAGCAGTTGACCTTACGTAAGGACAAGCTAGCAAAGTATTTGGCGCTTTACGATATACTGTGTTATGTATGTATAACACCATCACACTATTTCGCTATTTTAGTTTCATATTTATTAGAAATTAATTGATATTCTACTAAAATATTTCTTCATTCAAAGCTTCACTTGTTCCGTAGAACGTAAAATCTCGATCTGATTTGTTACTACATTCTGAGATACTTTAAGAAAACGGCACTAAGCTCCTCGTAATAAACTGGCGTATTTCAGCTAAAATTCTTTATCAATGTCTCAATGATAGTGAATCAAGTGCAAAATTGGTTGTAACATTATTAATGTGACTGAAATATGCTACTGTATAACATTCCATGTAATAAATCTTAGTTCGGCTCGAACATCGATACTTTATTTTTTCCCTTTACCTTATAAAACGTGGAGCATTATTAAAATATTGTGCTTGCTCTGATGGATAATTCGGATAACCATGATCTTGACGAATTTGCAAATTACCATGATTTGTTGTATGTCGGCCGGCGCGAATACCATGATCATCGTAAGATTGGAACCGTATTATTTCAGTATAACCGGGATGACGCATTGCAGGCGGTTGAAGATGTTGATGAGGTGACTGGTAATAAAATGGCATTCTTTGATCGCCTTCCGTTGACGACAACATGATGACCAAGGCGTTATAAAATTATTATTGAGTTTATTCTGCAAGAGTAAATAAATATATAGTTACTACTAATTTTGCACTGTATCAGTCAGTAACTTATTGGCGCGTTGTGATGTTGTGCCACTGCAGAATATAACACTTTTATTATGACACAATACTATGGATTGTACACTGCTCATTTTTTTTCACTTCAGTGCTTATCTGAGCACTTTAGTAATCAACCACTATCCATCATCCATAAACGTAGTCGAGTATTTCTTAAATGGTGCACCAATTTAACCATGTTTACTTGCCTATCTCCTAATTCAATCCAATTCACTACTACGTATCCACATTACGTTTAAAATGAACTTGTAGTTGAAGCGCTTGATGATTTACTAAATGTATGGACAACTACAGTGGAAGGAAAGGCCTTCTTCTAGTTGTCCATGACTTGATGTTACTTACTGATGAAGTGTGTAGGTATCAGTATCGTCAGGCAAGCTTGAAGTCTACTCGTTAACATATCGCCAAATAATGACGTCATTTCTCCATCAAAATACCGTATTAGCATAGCAATTTGTGACAGCCAATGCTGTCATGTAATAAACTATCTTCTACTATTTATAAAAATGATACAGACTATATCTCAAAGCTGAATACAGAAATTAACGCAGGCAGTTATAACAAATCAACAATAATACAGTATATCGCTGCATTGCACCATCGCATAAACTGCATATAAAAGCGTTTACAGTAAAGTACTGTACAGTATAATATTGATTGATATCGTTCACAACAAACACCCTACAGGCATGATATCCGTGATACTGTATACTGTACAGTGAATACAGTACCGTACTGTGCCAATAACTACAGTACATCATACTGTATATACAGTAAGTCCTGTACAGTACAGCACAGTATCAACAGCCGCACACGTACAGTACAGTACAGTAAATTATTTACAGTCATAATAATATTTATTTACCCTCAACTGACGTGATGGTGCAATCAAGAAAATGGAATATGGTTCAGCCTTGTGAAGCTAGTGCACCAATGTAATGAACAGAATACTGTATGTAACAACAACAATAATAATTTATAATTACCGTACAGTAGAATAAAATGAAAATTGTTTATCGATTGACGTTATGTAACCGAATGAGATCGAGGAAGTGAATGTGCGTACTAGTACAGTAGACTAATTCGAAAGTGTTGTCTGTATCGATGGTGACGATGACTTGGGGACATTCAAATGGAAAGTAGTGTGTACTGTACGTTAAACAAAAGCTGTATATTGCGAATTTTGTGGATCATAGCAATAGATTAATTAATTATCATTATTCGTTCATTATTTCTCGACTACAGTAGTTCTAAGTTGTTGTTAGTACGAACATTATCAACTATTGTACTATAAATTTGGACAACCAACAACAATCCTACGTACAAGTATTTCTGTAATGATAGTATCTTTATTAACCGTGAAGTACAGGACAGTATGGTAAAATGATCACTTTAGATTTATACGACAATTCTAATTATTAGCAACGACAGTATATCGTACATTAATATCGTAGGACGATGATTGCTAGCTGGATGCCCTTTACTCTAAAGTGATTTTATGACACAGTAAGTCGTGTCTATTAGAGACGAAAGCTTTCAAAACAAAAGACGTTGACATTTTTAATAAACTACAACACTGACAACCAAGTGAAACTGAAAAGGCAAGACCATGACTCAATTACGATAGTCATACTAGTATTCTGTAGTATACAGAAAAAAAGAGTATGATCTTGTGACATGGATGATTTGGAAATATGGTGAACTCTCTAAAAACTCCAATATATCGTATTTTAATTCAAAAAAGTCGACTTACGTTAATCTTGTGTGAATGGATATAAATTTCCAAGTCGCCTTCCGAAAAAGGCCTTTATCACAGTCGTATTGGCGATACTGGATACAGGCAGTTAGATTGCAGGCTTTTACAGTACTGTACGGTACAGTATCACTGTTGTTGCTACAGTACACTGTACTGTACTGCGCTGAGTGTACTGTACTGTACCGTACAATGTACACTTGTATAGTGCATTACGACAATCATCACAACAAAATTGTTTATTATTATTATTATTTATAGTTATACTTGTCTTTTGACTCTTTCGTACAAGCGGTACAACACAGTACTGTCGCGAAATTTTGAAAGTGAAAACGACAGACAGTACAGTACAGTTGATGTGCAGACTACTGTACAGTACAGTACTCTTGTAGCTTTCTGTCAATAAAAACGCTTTGATGAACTGCATCTCTGGTGCGTAAAGTACTGGAAGTCATCAATAATACATGAACTTGAAAAAATTGTGATATCACATTACTCTACTAAGAAATCGACATTGAATAGAACTAGGGACTACTCAGCAACAAATTTTTGTTCCTTTTTCTGTGCTTAAAAACGAGAGAGAGAAATGGTATTCCCTAGTAGGAAATAATGAGTCCCTGATGGGAAGAGAGAATGTATGAAATTAATTTTCAACTGTAGCAGTCTCAGACACAACTTGAACTTGATGTGTTCTTATTTTATTATACTGTACTGTACTGTACAGTATTTATTTTTAGCACCCTACAGTACAGTACTGTACGATCGTGTGTAAAAACTTTGAATACGGTACAGTATGCTAACTTCAAATTACAGTACAGGTTCTCAAAGTACAGTACTGTACACTACAGTACAGTGTACACTACTATACAGTACTGTACTGTACTGTACAGTACATTTACAAACCCAATTGTCACCCCCTGAAAGTATGTACTGTACGTACTGTACTGTACAGTACAGTACTGTAGCGAGTTTGGTTTGTACTGTACAGTACTGTACTGTACAGTACTATGTACTGTCATGGCGTATCCAAATGATAGTACTGTACAAAGAAGCTGTACTGTAATTTGCAGTCAAAGCTTTTGCCACACGACCTTGCAATACTGTACTGTACTGTACTGTACAGTGTACAGTACAGTAGCGTAAATCGAGCGATCTCCCAGTACGGTATGGTACTGTAAATCAGCGATCGCCTACAGTACCGTACTGTACTCATAATGTACTGTATTGTAAATGGGTCAGAATCAATCTTTGGTGGTACTGCACATGCCCAGTAACGACTGTTGCAAGTTGAAAAGTTCAAGCGGGATTTTCAAAAAATTCGCTACACTGTACAGACAGTGTAGCGTACAGTCAATGAAAATTGAGCAACGCGTTCACTTGATACACCAACAGTAGCGAGTATGAAAATGGATTGACAGCGAAAGTAGGCACCCAATGAAAATGACCATTCGGCTGTCATTTCTTTTAAAACTCTGTAGCATCAACGCGTTTAATTAGCATTTCCTAGGCAGTTTTCATTAACTTTAGTATGCAAACAACAATGTCCTGGACATGGCATTTCACTAATTTGAAAGTAAAGTAACTGAGAAAAATCACTCTCAACTTTACTGACTTGAAAGCGCAATCTCAAATTTCTACTCAAAGTCTAAGCCAGTGGAGCCATACTACTTGCCTAGTATTGCATACTAATAGCGTACTGTACACAACCAGTATCCAGCGTAGTGTCGCCAACCAGCGATGTCCTGCCTAAGTTACGTATTGTGGGACCATTCGGCAGTATATTAGACGGTTAGACTTGAAAATTAACGATACACGAGCAGCCCAATAGCCCATCTCTTGCAAAATATCTTGACTAAAAATCAACTTGAAGCAGCAATAATTCTTGGCAATCCTGAGAAAAGTACATCAGATATCCTATAGACTAGCGTAAGAGTATCATTGTATCAGAGAGTACCTTTCAAATTGTAAAAGTACCTAGACTGTACTGGATGATTTATTACTGTGGATAACCACCATTGAACATGACTGCCGCCAATGGCAATGATATTTAAGAATTAATTTTCTCATTCAACCTTAAACGAGTCATCATCGTCATTGAACAAATTTTCAACTACAGTATTGCCTAGCTAAAAGCTTACCTAGTTTGCTTTCTGGATTATCATTGTAGATTACATTCATTTTCGCTAGTACTTTTAAATTAACAGTTCCAATTGGTAAAGTGTTTTATGACTGTTTGCAGACAGCCATTCGACGACATACCGTAGAATCACTACAAATTAAAATCAATGAACGATTGATCGGCGGTGTTGAGCTGCTGGGCTATCTTCTGCATCATTAATAATGACGAGTACAATTGGTCAATTAAATACGCAAACACACATTATCCATCAAGTGAAAGGATCCGGTGGCGATCCTCGAAGCTGGTTGGAGGTTATTGAACGTGAAGTATGTGCTGATGGCAAGGAAAATCATGATGAAAAGACCTATCAGTTATATGAACTTGCTTGCGAAAATTTAGATCCCTTCCAATACAGAAATGATGAAAATTTTGCCAAGTTGTTGATTCGTAAGGCCAAATATGAAGAGTAAGTAATACGGACCAATACTATTTGCATTCGTTTTATAGAGGTACGCGATAAACAGTGACCAGTCGTGTATCTTGCTGACTACTTTTATACTTTATTATTGGCAGTCATTTTGCGATATTTGTGACAGCGCATTGATCTTCTTTGAAAGATCCACTGCTATTGATTGAATATACAGTACTGTACCATATTTATATTTTATGATGATAAGTAATAGCTTCAATAGCTGCTATGCCATACAGTACTATTCGCAAAAATCAAATCGTTGCCACAACCAGCAGTACGACAATTTCAACCGTAGGCTACCAGTGGCAGACTGAGCTTTTAGAAAGAGGATGTTGAGGCGACATTGAACTAGGCAGTACACCTCAACAACAAGCTACGCCAGTTTTTAGAAAGATGGTCTTGAGACGATATTGTACCGTACGATGCAGCACATCGTTAGCTATTATTTTACAATCAAGTATAATTTAGTGCTTATTTTTTACAAGAAAATATTGTAATAGGCACTATTACTACAGATTGCATGCTGTGTTAAGTGCGAGTATAGTAGTCAGTAATACTACCCGTCCCTAGGTTATTCGAGTGACCGTAATTGGAATGAATCCGTTTTACAGTGTACAAATGAAATTATTAAGTCTTTGAGACTGTTGCGTGTTAAAATCTTGCCCTATATCTTTTGCCAAGCATCTGTTTCATATTGGTATGCAACTTAGTCTACATTCTAAGTAAAGTTATACGATAGATGTATGCATGCATTATAGTATATACGTGTACAACCATAATTTATCGATAACTTAGATTAGAAGATATTAATAATTCTTACTTTTATGCATTACTTCACTATATGGATTTTCAGATGATATTAAATAAATTGGATATTGTCTTTCTCTTTATCTCTGCAGACTTCGTTTCCCAAAAGAAGCTGAAAATACATACAAATTTGCCAGAGATCACTTAACGACGTTCGCTGCAGTTCATATTGCTTTCGCTCAATTTCAGTTACATCAAGGTTAGAGTGAGATAACTACTGTACATTGTGAAGTATTCGTTTTCTTATCTCATAATAACGCTTACTTATCGTCAGAGTAACTGATACACGTAATTTCTAAATCGTGTACTAATTCGCTGTATTAAGCTGGAAAGTGGTACAAAGTACATTTCCTAAACCCATTTTTGCTAGTTTACGATAGTTTGAACAAATCTTGATTAATATTCTGTATCAATCCAGGAAATAAAGAAAAATGTAAAAAAATTCTTCAAAGAGCCAAAGACAGGGTACTAGATAAAACGTTACTATTAGCAGCTTACTCAAACTTTATCGATGGAAAAAAGGTTCTTTTGAAGGATTCAGAAACTGTGGAAAAAAACGACAAATTACAGAAGTAAGGATGAAATAATATAAATCAAAAGTTACAACATATTTAATTAAAGACAGCGGTTAGCCGCCTGTATAATTTAATGCTTACAATATACCAAACGCGATCGATTATCATATTTTCCTACTTTGATCACTTTCAGAACGATTCCTACAGCTTCTAGTGGTGATTTGTCTAAGCAAGCTGCAGCCACAAATATTGAAATGGACGGGAGTGATGGAAATCCCTCGGATAGTTCTGGTAATAGTAAGACTGGTTCCGTTTTTTTATCAAATTCTCAACGTCTATTCTCAAGCAATCAAGTAAACGTTCCTATCAACAATAGTGCAGTCAAATTAAATAATCCTTCGAAGGTTCGATTAACTTCAACTGCACTTTTTGGTACTCCAGTTGCGAGTAATCGTAGAGGCCAAGATACTGCAACACTTGGTGAAGCAAATCTGAGCAGTACTAAGTTATTTGCAAATACCCCTTCCGAAACACGCGGTACAGTTAGGGACTTACCGAAGCTTTCCGCTGTTCTTGGTTTTAAAAGACCTTCTGTAGATAATAGTTGCAACATCGATGACATGAATAATGCAGATACACTCGAAAATATGCCACTACATTCTTCTAGTCAAATATTATCGAATGATAAGATCACTTCTCAAAACAATAATAATAATAATCATGCTGTCCATCAAATGAAAAAATTGTTGAAAATAAATAATAATAATGACCTAGAAGATATTAAGGAACACGCTTATGAAGAGCAAGCTCCTGACCTAAATAATGATATTAACGTTCGTTCACTTACAAAATCTGTATCTGCCCCCAATGTTAATGCTCGTCGGCTATTAAATGATAAATGTGGTAATCCTCCCGCCTTGGATCCAAAAATAACCAAACAAAGTAATTCTGGTGGTAGCGCTAGGATGGATCAACACAATAATTTTACCGATCATCCTAAGGCTTCAACTGCTGCACAGATTTCAAAAGAAGCTGGTCACAATACAGATCATAGGAAGAAGTCGAGTTCTCATTTGAATCGCCATCTAACCACGATTACAGTGAATGATAAGGATTATATGGTAATAAAAGCTATTGGTAGAGGAGGAACGAGCAAGGTTAGTATAAGTTGTCTTTTAGAATTGTATAGGATCACACCTTCTGTAATTGTATTAATAAACCAACAAAAATATATAAATGTATAACTAGGTATATTCAGCCATTACTCCTTCCGGAAAAATTTGTGCCATCAAAGTAGTAGATCTTACTGGAGCTGATGAACTGATTAGGACTTCGTATTTTAAAGAAATTACGCTGCTAGAAAATCTAAGAGGATGTGAGACAATAGTACAACTTTACGATTGGTATGAATACTACTTTAAAATAAGCCACGTTATACTTTGTAATCTATGGATTTCCTTATAGATCATCATTTATTAAGTACTAGTCGTATCTATTCAATAGGGAAGTACAAGACCTACGCGATGAACTTATCGTTGTCATGGAACATGGATCAACCGATCTAGCCGTATTCTTAAAAAAAGAAGATCCTAGAAAAATGGCTGACTGGCATCGGATCAGTTTTTGGAAGCAAATGCTTCTTGCTGTTGATCTCATTCATAAAAAAGGCATCATACATTGCGATCTGAAACCAGCAAACTTTATTATTGTCGAAGGCAAACTGAAGCTCATTGATTTCAATATAGCAGATGCTATTCAGGTAATAATTTTAAATTTTCATTGATTAAAATATCTTTAAGTTATATATTTTTGCAGTTAGCTGAGATGAATTATAAAATCATATCATTTTTATATAGGAAGATGAAACGAGCATAAAAAGAGAAATGACTGTTGGGTCATTTAACTACATGGCACCTGAAGCTATTGTTGATACTCGGCAAAAAGGTTTTCGGTACAAAGGCAAACCCTCAGCTAAGGTATGGTTTACTTCGCAAGCAAACTTCGAAATTTTATTATCCTTAGACTAACGCTACTGTTTCTATATTGCACAGATTGGTAGAAAAGCAGACGTCTGGTCACTTGGTTGTATTTTATACTATATGGTGTATGGTAGAACTCCGTTTCAGTCTATAATGGACAATGTGGAAAAACTATGTAAAATTATCGATCCACATTACAATATAGACTTTCCTGATGTGGCTAATACAGTATGGGTTGATGTTATAAAAGTAAGCAAAACATATCTTTCCCTTTGTACTCTTACAATCAGTTCTATCACGTACTTGTAAGTGTCATGGTTAATAATGCAATATACCCTGATCGAACTGCATGTGCATGTTTTAGAAATGCCTGCAACGTGATCCTAACGAAAGAGCTTCGATTGAAGAATTACTAAATCTAGATTTATATAAAGGTGATCAGCGCGCTTAATTTTACAATTACATAGTCAGTAATAAGAAAACAAATACTAAAGAGTAACTGTTTTTGATAATCTTTGTTGTCTTATAGTTCTTTAATACCAAATCGAATTAAAATGATAGCAAGATTTCCTACGATGCGACATTTTTACTAATACTGGTTGAAATTCCATTAACAAGATTTTGTTGAATCTACTATAAAAACTTTTTTGGATAATGTAAAAATTTTTACCGTTTTTATATAAGAAGTTGCTATTGTTGTGTTTGCTTTAACTACGATCTGTCATAAATAACTTCGGTGCTTTATTACTTTTAAACTCCCTTATTTGCATACTTAATTATTAACCAGAATCTTATTTGATCCATTAATGAAGAATGTTGGATTATCGTGGTCAAAGCGATAGTCAGAACTACGTATAGGATAAATCTCCGAGGACTAGCTTAAATATGAATCTGTGACGATGTATGCTATCTTTCTGAGATCAGTGACGGATTAGATAGTAATTGCATTGAATTATAAATTAATTATGATTTCTCACATATCGTTGACATAGCTCATAATATAATGCAATACTATTCTACTAATTTGTCGACCGCTTTTATGATAATATATATAATTCGTGAATAACTAATATATAAACTTGATCTCTTGGGAAAGATGATATGTACATAGTTGTATTAAATCCAAAATATGTATCGTTATGATACTTAGCTTACTTTGTTAGAGCTGTTCATCATTTCACATATACTGTAGTAAAAATTGCTTTCGTAAAATTCTCAAATACTAGCTGTTACTATAGTACCGTTACTGATTTATTCTAAACCATGTTAAGATTGTACAATATTATATACATTAAGGTGTCAATTTTTAGCCATAATTATAACACAACTCTGCTTTGTCACTAATGAGCAAGTCTTTCGTGTCTATCACTGCGTGTATGCATATCGCATACCTATTTATCAACGTTTGTATTACACTTTCTAGCATATATATACACAATAAAATATTCGTCTTAGAGATGTACTACATATGATTGTTGTCATTCCGTTCAACTTTACTAGGTTTTCACTATATTAAGGTTTTTCAATAAACGTTAAGAAAAGTAGGTCATTAGATAACGTCGTTTGCAATAGCTGCCAAACCATTATTTAGCAATTTTTCTATTTAGGCGATTACTGCAATACGCGTATATCAACCAATGGTCACTATTCAGTTGTCTGTTTCTATTTCAAAACAGCATGACTAAAATTTCTTGCCTAAACGTATCTGAATGCTGCTAAGAATAAGACCGTAACAGCATTAGGCTATTAAATAAATTTTACACTATTTGTAACAGTAGCCGTGAATTAGGAAGATTTTGCTGCCTATGGTATAGGTACTATTAAATTGATTTATTGTACTCTACTGTACTTGCATGTTCATCCATGATATAATACTCGATTAGTAAAAGTTTTATGATTAATTACTGTAGGCATAGAACGTAATTAATATATGTGCACAGTAGCTGCAATTTGAATCTGAAATCATTCTTATTGGTATTGCACTATTGAAATAAAGATTTTAATACTGCTATTATCATCGTGTAAGACCTAGTAGCTCCGTACCATACAACGTTAGCGACTATTCAACTGCATACTATTGAGTACGTCAAAAAATTGTTATATGTAAATTAGTATAAAGATCGCCAGAAATAATGGCCAAGGTCTTCGGGGCTTCCTCCTTTAAATATGTTGTTTAAACACAAAAATAAAAGTATACATCAAAATTATCTGGATATATTCACGGTATAATTGGATTTTTCTAGCAGGTATGCTAATTTAATTGTTACACGTTAATTTTAGGGTTATCAATAAAGTCTTGGGCTCTGCAACATCCGTACTGAATCATTAGGCTAATCCGTGCTACCACAGATAATATAATATAAATAAAACTTCATCTATTAAACAAACTGAAGCCCAAAGTTTGTTAACAAAATGTAGTAAATTATTAACTGTAGTGAATTCTATTACATGAACATAACATAAATTAAACCTAAAATTCAATCACAATAATTTGTATTGGTAATTATTTATTCCTTTACATTATTTGTCTTATATCGTATTGATTCCTGAGTATACGTCCTATTGCAAGTTACTGTTCATTTATTCATTTTACATGAAAAGAGGGAGAATAGTAGCCATTGTTATCTAAAGTATGGACTGCTAAATACATGCATATATTGAGTCAAATATCAAAAGTAAGAAACAAAGATCATAATAGATAATAATGGAATCAAGACATGAAAAACTAGTTATTACTGCATCGTTTGAGCTGAGGGTAATGTATATTATTTTTTTTAAGGCTTTGGTTACCATAGAAACTAAAAACTCACAAAGCCAAAACTAAGGAATGGCGTTTGATTACAATAATTGTGTATACCTTGGATGACCACTAATTATTGTATGGTGGATAGAGCATAGTATGGAGTCTGTGAGGTCTTCTGTATTGCTTGTTAGGACTACCCTTGCACCAGTATGAAATAATCCAATCTCAGTATGGGTGTATGACTTTTAATGCATATTACAATACTAAGCGAATAATAATAAAGTATTGAAATCAGTTTGATGTTGTGTTTGCTCGTTATAAGGTAATTATTAATGTTACATATAGACAAGTAATACATTGACAGTATCCATTTCCCATACCTCCTGAAGCACTTTCCATATGCTGAACTGAACTCTTCTACCAACATCTTACTTAAATATCTTATATTTTAATCTAGTATTGAAAGATATTCAACACTTAACACGCTTACACTTTGGGAAAAGAACTCAACTTATCTTTCGACGTATTTTAATTTAAGACTAGTTAAATAACAAGTAACCCGTGAAAAGTACACTTCGAATACACGCAAGATTTGGCCAGTTTAGAGTAACATAATTACGACAGTGCCCCATAACCATAAACTGTACAAACTTGTTGGCTTGCAAAATTTTCAATTACTATACACAGTGCACCCTGTACTGTGTATAACACTGAATATTTTGCTAGTCTATGACTCGTAATTACAGAAATTGTAATAAATAAATAAATTAGTCATTAGTATGTCATCAGAACGTGGCGCTAAATTAAGCATAAGCGACGCTATGGATGGATACAATGATTTCCACTCTAAAGGTATGCTATTTATTTTGTTATCTTATCATTTTCCTAAGTCATATCTATATTTATGCTAAACTCCTCACATAATTTTTATGGAGAAGTGGCTGATTGGAATCATTCTGTTACAATAAAGTAATGCAATAAACGAACTAACTGCTTTCAGTGAATTAAATATATATGTATTACGGATATTTATCTGATTTATTACTGTGAACCCTACGTAGTAAATTTTACTCCAAGTACTATAAATCCCAATACATTACCTAAGGCGTAACAATCGTCCATCAGAATTTTTAAATCAATAATTAATATATCTATCACATTTAAGTACCCAATTTCTTTAAAATTTTAATATGCAAGTTTTTATATAAGCTCAACTGAAAGCAATAAAACACTTCTACTCGAAAGCCTGTATTATAATTATAACGGTAGTGCTAGCGTTTTGAAATCTTATCTGTATCGCACATTTTACATCGCTTTCAAAATGATTTATACAAATTTTCTTGAATGCTTTCAAAAGTATATCAAAAGTAAGGGTAGCTATCTGTGCTCTTAGAAGGGTAATAACTACAGATGTTTTGAGAGTATTACATAAAATATCGAATGAGATAACTGTAAATAATCTAAAATAGCGCTTAATACAACAATTTCAATTAAGATTTTATCAACTTATCCTAATCGTATTTCAAATTGATGATTCAATCTTTCTTCGGAATAATACTCCTATAATGGCTTAGCATTTCCGATAGAGGAATATTATACGTGTCTACAATAATATTGCAGTAAATTTATAGTCAATTTTTTACCTTTAAGCAATCAAAGGACAAGCAAAAAAATTAATCTATTGAATATTAATAGATGACGAAGCCAGAAAAGCCATGAAACGCCGTATCCAGCGTCCCGCTGCTACTGTCGGTGTAAGTGACAATGAATTCTATTTTAGTCAGATATTATTAACAAATTTATATAAGAAAGCTATTAATCGTATGAATAATTAGCTAAATGCAAGCGTTCAAAGTTAGTATATTCGATGTAGCGCTTACTATTGTAGCAAGCGCGTGAATAGATGCGTCATACTGTATATTGTATAATGCCTTCAGTTTACAGTTTATATATATACAGTTTACGCTATTAAACTAATTAAAAGTAAAATTACTATAGCATAGGCTGGAAGTAAATTCAGAGTCGTTCTCAGTATGTTGATTATTAACTTTCAATGCTTAACTTGATAATTTGAAATTGTCATAGTGGAAAAGGGTTACAATCAAAATGTATTACAGCTGCAATAATTTCTGGTCGAATTTTTACGTAGACCTAACAATATCTTTAGAATCACAGCTGATTTTGCCCTTGGATATTTCTTCTACTTAAAAGATCCTTTTCAAATTATATCTTAAATGTTTCCATTTAATAGAAGCGCCCGGTGAATGCATTTATGTCTGGCGAAGCTATGAAGGAACTACAAAAACAAAAGAAAGAAGCAAGAGAGGAAAGAAGACTTCAAGTAAGATTATATTGATTTGCATTTTTAAAATTTGAAAATGTATAGCCATTGACAATTACGTAGACTGAGACAATGTACTTTGTATCTTATGTGTGAAAAACATAGATGGATTCCAGACATTCGTTCATCATCTCTAAGGTAAAAATTATTTTATACTACACGCTCTTACAGTTTGAGAGGCAATCATTTCGATGATATGGAACGTAAAATACATTTATAACTTATTATCAATTTTATCGATTTTTTAACTGTTTACATGATATGTATATTTTAGTTAGCGGATGGACTTGGATTAGAAGAAAACCTTGTTGAAGATAGCTTAATTACGGATGATAAGGTTAATGATGGTCATTTATCATTAATCACATTCTAGTCATAACGAGTAGCAGTATTCTGTAATGTAAACTCGTGTAATTATGAGTATAAAAACAGTAGCTACGATCTTCACCTGTATTAATAATTAAACTCATTACGAAATATACAATTAAATTTCAAATTATAGTTTGAACTGATTGAAAAATTTTTCGGCACTAATAATGGCCGTACGCTGATGTTTTTCTATCAAGATCAAGAGGTATCTTCTAATAACAATAATTTGCGTATAATAGACAAATTAAATTAAGAGTTATCAGCATTAGCATATCTTAACATTATTTTTGTTGCTATCTTATTAATTTACTGTTCTGTGTATTAAAAGGTTACAGGATCTAGACTTGATGGTCATTATGGCAATACAAGCAATTCTAATCGAAGATTAATCATTGCAACTGGCGAAAATGAGGTTATAAAATATCTAAAATTAAAGTACCGATAGTTACACATATTTAAGCATTTTCTTGATTGTACTATGGATTTTAGATTGCCTGTGGAACATGCTGCTTTTTCACCAAATCTTCTGATGCTACTGCAATTACTGCAAACAATATTACACAGGTAGAAATATTAATCCGATTAAGATTTTTACCTCGATAGCGGATCTATATGCGAAAGCAGATCGTTAATTCAGCCAGTATGCACAATTAAAGCATATATTTGAATTTTACTTTCCATTAATAATCAAGGACGTCAGTTACGGTCAAATTGATATGACTAAAGGTATTCTTGAGGGTCTCGAAAAACACCTATCTACCATTTTATTACCCGCCTTAAAATCTCGAACGGTACGACGTAATATCCACAAAGCAATTATAGAAAAGTAGATTTGAATATCAAATCAATTACGCCTATAATTAATAAAAATTGGTGCTCTTAAACTATACCATATTGATATCTTATAGGACTGGGGATACATCAAAGAAAGTGGGCCTAACAAGCCTCAAAATGAATTTTTTGATACATTGGACAGATTTATAAGTACTTTATCGGGTGCACGTGTACATCTAAATGATAGGTAATTTAATTATTTATAAAAGCAAATAAAAGTAGATATCCACCTTGAATTTTATGCTAAATTTTCTAAATCACTTAATTTGTATCACTGTAATAACACTTTCAAATACAGAGTTATATTAGAAGATGATGGTCTAAATAATCTAATAAAGGAATTATCATCTCCAGCAGATTTTGCTTTGGCTGGTATGTAATCTTGATGCTTTATTTTTTATGCATGAACTGATCAGTTGTATATATTTAAATGTTAGTTACTGTCATTAAGCGAATTTACTTGCTCAATATTGTTATGCATCAATTAAATATTGGATTTAAAATTTATTTTGTTAAATTCATCAGCTTATAATACCGAGCTAGTATTCAACCTGGAAGGATATGTTAATATTTGGTTTAAACAGATTGAACAAGTCCTTGCAGAAAGCGAACAAGTATGTAGTGAAACAGTTGTCCGTAAAGGAATGTTTAACGTATTCATACATGTTAAGAGTTATTAATTCTAAGATTCAGACAATAATTTACGCTGTACCTTGTAATGTAATCTATCGACTAATGACCATATTCTATAAAAAACTATATAGATGCGTAAAGAAGCCGATGATATTGGTCCAGCTGCGGAGCTTGAACATTGGCGAAAAAGAATGGCCAAATTTAACAGGTATAAAATATCAGAGGATGAAATTTCTTGACTGAAAATCATACTATCTTTTTTGAAACATGTAGCTAAGTAAAAATCGTTCATCTCTCTCTTATTTATAAAATTAAGCTTGCTGGATCAAATCAAGTGTGCAAACTGTAAAACAGTTATTGGCGTATTGCAAGCAGCCAAATCTAAAACAATTAAATACTGGAAAGAATTAGTAAGTTAGAGTTGAGAAAATTTACTTTAAAAATAGAGTCGAAATAAAACTTCGTTCCTCTAATTATCGAGTTTATAGAATTCTGTTCTTTGCTTCCATCGCTAACATTTTCATTTTTTCTTATATTCTTTTAGGATATCAGAATTACTGATGCCGCTAACGAAGCTAAAGATAATGTTAAATATCTTTATACCTTGGATAAATTTTTTGCTCCACTTTCCAAATGTTCTCCGGTAATTCTATAATTGTATCTTCTCGAAGCATGTTGGCGTAAATGATACCTATAGCCACATTAAAAGGCATTCCTCCTGTATTGATCAGTCCTGCCTCTAGTTAAATATATAACTTATACTATCATTCTGTATTTTTATTTATAGACCGAAATGATCGAACATATCCCTAGCTTAATGAATGCGATTAGAATGATCCATAGCTATTCTCAATATTATAACACTTCTGAACGTATGACATCGCTTTTCGTCAAAGTTACAAATCAAATGATAACTACATGTAAGAGTTATATTCGCGAAGGCTCGCAAAAAATTTGGGACCAACCTAGGCCTCTATTATTGAAAAAATTGAAGCAGTCTTGTGAATTGAATGAAGCTTATCAAAGATGTTTTCACCGTACCAAAGCTAAATTAGCCGAAAATTCCAGTGAGCGCCAATTCGAGTTCAGCGAAAATTATATTTTTGGCAAATTCGATACATTTTGCAAACGTCTGGAGAAATTGTCTGATATGTTAATATCGATGGAAGAGCTGTCTGGTGTTACTGAGATTCGAATTGAAGGCATTAATAATATTATTACACGTTATCAAGCTATTGTAGCTGGTACAAAAAAGAAAAGTTATGATATCTTAGAGCATCGCAAAGGAGAATTTGATACCGATTATGAGGAATTTAAAAGGCAAATTGAAGTCCTCAATGGCCAATTGCAAGCATTTCTTGATTCGTGGTTTGATCGAGGTTTATCCACTCCTCAAGCGCTAGAACTATTGCAAAAATTTGAAAAAATTGGAAACTCCAATCTTGACTTGACGGAAAAATATACCAATGTTTTATTTAATTACGGCAGGTTAGTAGCAGCTCATTTTTAGTTTACATTCTTCACTAAATTAGTTGTTGTGCTTAATTTTCATTAAATGGATTTATGATTATTTTAGGGATTTGGAGATAACTCGTAAAATCTATCAGAAATTTAAACAAGATCCCCCCATAGCTCGCAATTTACCTCCGGTAAGAAAGTTGGAAAGGCTAGTGAAAAGCCGATTATCTTTTTTTATGACTTAAAAACTATTCTTAGTGAGAAAGCTTAATTCAACAGATGGCATCCTAATTACTCTTTCTGCTACCTGAAATTAAATCTAATAATAGTAAAATGTTAAACAAATTATAAACACCTAGTTTATCCTTTCAATCACCAGAAAGGAAACTTACTCATTCTATCACCTAAAAATAATTTACACTTTGGGAAAGTGTCGAAGAGTCTAATAACGTCTAGTTTGTCTTTCTATGAATTGAAATTACGTCTTCCCCTTGTAAAGAGAATTAGTCCGACTAATAATATTTCAATTTACTCTTTCTAGTACTTAAAACTGAATTTTTTCATTTTAACAGTTACACAAGCTAATGATATTAACTCACTTTTTCTAAACACTTTCATATATGAAATCGGATCTTCACAGATTGCAGGAAAAATAACATGGGTGCGCCAACTATTTCGCCGAATTGATGAACCGATGAAAGTGTTCAAGACAAAGCCAAATATTTTAAAGGTTTTGGGAAATTATATACCATACTAAAGACGAGTACTTTGCTCGTTTCTTCCCATACTATTGCTGACTAATAATGTTTTTTATTTGCCGTAGACCGACGAAGCGCGAAGAATTATACGTAATTTTAATAAATTGGCTTCTGTGCTAATGGAATTTGAGGTAATTTACCGTTTTTTTTTGCATTCTGCATGCTTTACTACATTAAAAATGATATTGTAGAAGGGCTAATGTCTTGTTTATTTATTACGGAACAATTTGTGCAGTTGTTATATCATCGCGGATGGTTTAGAGCAGTAGATGCTGCCAAATCCGGTTTGCAAGCAACGCTCCTCATAAAGCATCCAGAAAACAAGGTATACTATTAATACGTCGATAGTTTACTGAGCATAAAAACTTCTCACTGATAATATTGCGATCATTGCACTTTAGACTCTATTTGTTAACTTTGATCCTCAAGTATTGGAGCTAGTGACAGAAGCAAAAGCTTTACGACGACTAAGCTTAGAGGTATAATCTTTTTTCAAGGATACATTAAAGGGTTATACGCGATATGACTTGAAAAATCTTAATTACCCTAATTCCAATTAATCTAGATTCCGGAATCGGCACAAGTTCTATGCTTAAATGAAGATAGAATCAAGGCAGTTTACGATCGGTACAGTCATTTAATTCATTCTTAGCATGATCAATTTTCAAATTTTCTTAATAATTTAATTTCTGTCAACAAATAAACATAGATTGCATCAAGTCCTAGGAGAATATCATAAAACAGTTAAATCTATTCCGGAAATTGTAAGATCATTAATAGATCCTTTCGTAAATCGTGTTGACGACGCTATAGGACCTGGATTGACCATGCTTACTTGGACATCCCTTAATATCGATTCTTGTATGTCTTTTAAACTAAATTCAATTAGGTCATTTGTCTATTCTTTGAATTTAAAACTTATCCAATCTTCTTCCAATTTACATAGACATTGACAATATCTATCTAGCTTTGAACTTCTTAAGAAAACTAGTAAAGCAGGTACACACCATAAAAATTAAAATTAATTTCTTAAATAATATTTACAACGAGTTAATGAAAAGCTCGTACGACGAATACTTTTCTACCCATAGTACAGTAAAAATAGTACCTGTAATCAGTAATATTTCTGGAATGAAGTGATACATTCTGTGCAGTAAAATCTCTTGAATATTCTCTGTAATTAAGGAAAGCTGACAGAATTAGACATTTTCTAGTAATAGGCTAATATTTCTCTTACACGCATATACTATCTGTAATAAACGAAAGCCAGCAGAATCAGGTGTTTGCTAGTAGTAAAATAGTCCCCTTGGATGATATCAACGTTGGTAATAGTTACTGTAGTTTTCTGTTTTAATTTTATCACTGTTGACTGTAGAATTCTTATCCAAATAACTCTAGATATCAGATATATTAGAAGTCAGGATTGAAAAAGTGTTAGAAAGTATGAGCTTGACTCCATTATGTGATCTATCTGATGAACCAGCAACGGTTACTGATTTCATTGAGCATACGGAAAAATCTTGTGAAGAAGCTTGTGAATACTTAACAAGGTATGAAACTGTTAAAATCGAATAGTAACTATTGATCTCTTTTACTTAATCTTGTAATTGCTTTACTGATGAATATAGGCAGAGTCAGCTAGTAGAATCATCGGTTTTAGAGCTTATTGATACATTATGGAGCCGTATGAAACCAATAGAGCAAGAAAATCTAGAAGTAATTATAGATTTTGACATCATTTAAAATTTGCTAGTTTTTGCTATGAATAAAATTGCAAAATCCATTCTGATTATGATCTTTACATAGCTATCCTATGAAGCCTCGAACCAAGAGAACAAGATTAAACCAACGGCTTCATATACATTGCCTTCATGTTGTCTTCCTCTTTATGGATATTTCAACCAGCGGAATATAGATGCTTTGGTTAAATGTATGTTAGCCAATGTATAGAACGAAGCTAAAAGCGTTGAATTATAGACTCTTACAGTTATGGCTATTATGTTGATTGAATAGGTACAAGATTATCCCTAGATTCTATAAAACGAAGAATACAAAGCTCTAATAAGTATAACTCTAAAGACAATAATACACGACCAGGGGATATTAAATTGCCATTATTTAAGGTAAGATTGAGTGTATTAAGTGATTATGTGTAGGTGTATAAGTCCAAAGTTCTTCCCAAGTTAACTTAGTGATTACTTTGTAGTCCAACATTGTCTTAGCGTTGCCTTCTATCATCATGAAACCAAGCTTGGATGATATCCAGCAATATTTAAACAAAGCTGTACAAACAGTCGTTAAAATGTCACAGGTAGATACCCTTAGGAATATTATGATGATCCATTCTTTTTATCTTAGATGTGGAAAATTTAATGTGGATTAAAACAAGGCTTACTTGATTAGAGTATTAATCGTTCTTTACTTATATTTATAAGAATATTCCTATCTGGAAACAGCAAGTCCTTTCTGGCGAGTTATCGTTAGTTTTAGCACAAGCTGATGAAAGTCGTGCGCTTAATTTGCCCGTTGTATCATCGAATCTGAATCAACAGCAATATTACAAGATTATTTCCGAGCATAGAGACATTGTTAAAGTCATTATTACCTTGAATACGATTATAAACACCTCTAAATTAAACGTTCAAGAAGTTGTGAAAGAACTTTCTCATTTCTCGGAATTATGGAGCGAGGTAGCAAAGCACAAAAATGACTGCAACTATTTATATTACCATCGTAGCTAAAGAGGACAAGATCAGACCAACTTTAATGTTTCTATGACTATTTGTATAGGATCCTAATGAACGGGTTAGATTATTCATGCAGAATTCACCAACATTGTCGGAATTTGAAAATCAAATTCGCAGATATGAAGTAAGTCAGATAGTTTATTTGATACTTGTCATGATGTTTAATTGATTTTTTTATTCTCTTTTATTCTTATTTAAACCTATTCTAGAAAATGGAAGAAATGATAGATTCCCTACCTACAAGTTATCGTGTTGGATCAGTAGTATTTACGACAGAACTTCTCAAGAAATCGTTAAAAGCGGAAACATCGTCCTGGAAGAAAGCTTTCGGCCGTGCTCTTAATCATAAGGTATTGTCAATTGCTGCAGCGTCAAATTAGTTATTGCATCTGAATAGTCATGAGCTCTATTTCATTCTGCAACTTTTCAGGCAAGCGCCGATATGGAGTTAATATTCTCTTTTATAGAGAATATGGCAAAGCGTTTAAGTAGACCTATTAAAGATCTTGATGATGTACGTGGTAGCATGGCTGCTTTGATGGAAATCCGTGAAGCTGAAATAAGGTTTGGAAACTGTATTCTTAGTTTAAATTGACGTAAAGTGGAACAGGCATGAAGCATGACAATATTTTAAATTGAAATAGATTTCAGTTGAAAGATTTGCATATAAAATCAACATTTGTAATTATTTTTCAAAAGGATCGATATGACTATCAGCCCTATTGAAGAGTCTTTCGCTTTGCTTAACCGATTTAATATGACGTTCTCTGGAAGCGATGCAGAAAGAGTGGATACCCTTAACTATAGCTGGAAGAAATTAAATGCTCAGGTCAGTATTCCTATTTCTTATGCTATGTAATCAAATAAAGAATATTTCGAATAAAGCGTGATGACTGTTTGTTTTCTATAGGCCAATTCAGTACAAGCAACTCTCCTCAAAATAGAACCAGATTTTAAAGCAAACTTATTAACATCTGTAAAGAATTTTTCAGTAACTCTGGAAAACTACGTTACAGAATATGATGAAAGGTAATCTAGTAGCTGCATTAACGTAATCATAAATTCCTTTTAACATAAAATGATATCTTATATTCCCATATGAAATTGGCTAACATCATAACAGAGGCCCAATGGTACATAGTATTCCACCAACCGATGCTAGTGAACGATTAACAATCTTTCAAGCAAGATTTGATGATTTATGGAGCAAATACACCACATACTCAGAAGGAGAGCAATTGTTTGGCCTACCCGTTACAGAGTATCCAAATTTACAGCGTGTAAAACGCGAATTAAATCTTTTACAGAAGTTATATAGCTTGTATAATGCTGTCATCGATCGTGTTAATGGCTATTATGATCTACTCTGGACTGACGTGGATATTCAAAAAATTAATGGAGAATTACAGGAATTTCAGAGCAGGTACAGTATCTAATGTAAATAAATCAATAATCCAAGCTAAATATATAAGCATGATGTTTAAAGAAAGTTCGCTTAGCGGTATTGAATAAATTTAAATAAATGTACCGTGTATTTCCCATACGATATCAAGTTCTATTTTTGATATTCATAGATGTCGGAAATTACCTAAAGCTTTAAAAGAGTGGCAGGCGTATAATGATCTTAAGAAGAAAATTGATGATTTTAATGAGACATGTCCTCTTCTGGAAATGATGTCGCATAAAGCAATGAAAGCACGTCATTGGCAAAGAATTGCTGAGTTAACGAAATGTATCTTAGACGTTGAATCGGATTCTTTTACCTTAAGAACTCTCATGGAAGCTCCATTACTCGAATGCAAGGAAGATATCGAGGTAAGTGCATTCTCATATCTAAAGTGTTAGCGATGATGGTCAAAGTCGTCTTGGTTTATAAAACTTTCTTGGCCTTTCCCTCAATTTGCTGCATCAACAGGATATATGCATTTCCGCCGTGAAAGAGCGCGATATTGAAGCTAAATTGAAATCTGTTGTGAATGATTGGCAAACACAAGTCTTTGCTTTTGCAACATTTAAAAATCGTGGTGATTTACTATTAAAAGGCGCAGATACTGCTGAGACTGTGTCTCTTATGGAAGATAGCCTTATGATTCTTGGCTCTCTAATGAGTAACAGGTATCGTACTTTAGTTAAAACAGGATATAGCTATAATATAATATACGCGTATATGCACTACTCCGAATTATGTTTTAGTAGATAACACAATTATGGAGTACATACTGATTAATATTTTTACTATTCTAGATATAATGCTCCTTTCAAATCTTCTATTCAACAATGGGTTCAAAAATTATCCGGTACGACTGAAATTATTGAAAGCTGGCTAGCTGTGCAGAATTTATGGATTTACTTAGAAGCCGTATTCGTCGGTGGCGATATTGCTAAGCAGTTGCCTCAGGTTTGTAAGGAATACAATGATCTAATCGGAATCCATCAAATGAAATCGGATTAGAGTATCACAATGGATTGGTTTTTATTCATTTTTAATATTAGGAAGCTAAACGATTTAACAATATTGATAAATCCTGGGTCAAGATCATGCTCCGAGCTCATGAAATCGATAATGTCGTACAATGTTGCGTGGGAGATGATATGCTTTGCCAACTTTTGCCTCATTTACTTGAACAACTTGAAATGTGTCAAAAATCCCTTAGCGGGTACAAATAACATATTCAATTTTTAATTTCCTCTCTAGAAATACTGATGTTTTTAACACATCGTTATATCTGCCAAATTTAATTTAGATACCTTGAAAAGAAACGTTTAGTATTCCCAAGATTTTTCTTTGTTTCTGACCCTGCTTTGTTGGAGATACTAGGACAGGCTAGCGATTCGCATACTATTCAGGTAATGATCTAAGTATTACAAATAGATTGGTAATTACCATTTTATAGGAAAATATCGCAATATGTTATATAGTAAACCTAAATTAATCACGCTTTCAATCTTTACTACTTGGACAATTTAGTCACATCTTTTGGGAATATTCGATAATATCAAAACCGCGACCTTCCACGATAAAGAATATGATAGAATTATTGCAGTTAATTCAAAGGAAGGCGAAACAATCGAATTAGAAAAACCTGTTATGGCCCAAGGGAATGTCGAAGTATGGTTGGGGGCCTTGCTTAATGCCGCTCAGAAATCCTTACATCTCATTATTCGAATGGCAGCTTTGGCGATACAAGATCAACCATTTAATTTGGTTGATTTCTTAGATACATACCCTGCACAGGTATGGTGATCATTGTAAATTATGTTATTAAATTATTTAGATTTATCCTTGCTAAATATTAGTATCCATCTTAGGTTGGATTACTAGGTCTGCAAATGATATGGACTCGAGACAGTGAGGAAGCTTTACATAATGCCAAATATGATAAAAAGGTTAAATTTCTTACATCGAGCAACGATTTAATATGATAACGTTTTAGATTATCTTGAAAAAATAACTTCAATTTTTTAATTTCTCTTATACGATAATAGATCATGTCTCATACAAACCAACACTTTCAAGAAATCTTGAACGGTCTAATTGAAGTTACAACGAAAGAATTGCCAAAGTCTAAACGTGTCAAATATGAAACTCTAATCACTATTCATGTCCATCAGAGGGATATCTTCGATGATTTAGTAAGTATTCATACTTACAAGTAATAGATTGTAAGCTATAGGCATAAAGTATATAATACATCTCTTTTCTGACGCCGTTAATTTAATTTTATTGTAGGTTCGTATGCATATCCGATCACCAACAGATTTCGAATGGTTGAAGCAATCACGATTTTATTTCCGTGAAGACTCAGATCAGTGTATCATTTCGATTACTGATGTCGACTTTACATATCAGAATGAATTTCTAGGATGCTGTGAACGCCTTGTTGTAACTCCATTAACTGATAGATGTTATATTACGCTAGCGCAAGCTCTTGGCATGGCTATGGGTGGAGCACCTGCTGGCCCTGCTGGTACAGGAAAAACAGAAACTGTGAAAGATATGGGAAAAGCACTTGGTAAATATGTTGTTGTTTTTAATTGCTCCGATCAAATGGACTATAGAGGTTTGGGCCGTATCTATAAGGGATTAGCACAATCAGGAAGTTGGGGTTGTTTCGATGAATTTAATCGTATTGAATTACCAGTACTATCTGTAGCAGCCCAACAAATTGCTGTTGTGTTAACATGTAAAAAAGAAAGGAAAAGACAGTTTATATTCACTGATGGTGATGTTGTTGATCTTAATCCAGAATTTGGATTATTCTTAACCATGAATCCTGGCTATGCAGGAAGGCAAGAACTTCCTGAAAATTTAAAAATACAATTTAGAACAGTTGCGATGATGGTACCTGACCGGCAAATTATTATTCGAGTCAAGTTAGCTAGTTGTGGATTTCAAAACAATCAAATTCTAGCTCGTAAATTTTTCATCTTGTATAAACTTTGCGAAGAGCAGCTTACCAAGCAGGTGCATTACGATTTCGGTCTTCGAAATATATTATCCGTTCTGCGTACTCTTGGTGCAGCAAAGCGATCCCATCCTGATGACAGTGAAAGTACAATTATGATGCGTGTTCTAAGAGACATGAATTTAAGCAAACTTGTTGATGAAGACGAACCCCTTTTCTTGAGTTTGATCGATGATCTATTCCCCGGTATCCAACTTGAAAAGGCTGGATATCCCGAGTTAGAAGGTGCAATTTGTAAACAAGCTGAAGATGCTGGTCTAATATATCATCCACCATGGGTGTTGAAATTAATTCAGTTATATGAAACTCAGCGTGTTCGCCATGGTATGATGGCATTAGGACCTAGTGGGGCTGGTAAAACTACCTGTATACAAACGTTAATGAAAGCAATGACCGATATTGGTATACCACATCGTGAAATGAGAATGAATCCCAAAGCTATTACCGCATCGGAAATGTTTGGTAAATTAGATGTATCGACTAATGATTGGACAGATGGAGTATTTTCTGCTTTATGGCGGAAAACACTTAAAACCAAGAAGGGAGAACATATCTGGATCGTTTTGGATGGCCCAGTTGATGCCATCTGGATTGAAAATTTAAATAGTGTCCTGGATGATAATAAAACTTTAACGTTAGCTAACGGTGATCGTATACCCATGTCCTCAACATGTAAAATCATTTTTGAGCCGCATAATATTGATAATGCATCACCTGCTACTGTTTCTAGAAATGGTATGGTATATATGAGCTCATCAGTATTAGATTGGCGCCCAATATTGCAAAGTTGGCTAAAAAGAAGACCTGTCAATCAAGCTCAGAAATTAACCGTTTTATTTGAAGGTCTATTCGATGATGCATATAACTTTGTAGTTCGAGAATTACATAGTAAAATGGATGTGCTAGAATGCAATTATATTGCTCAAGCGATAAGTTTACTGGAAGGTTTAATTTCCAGTAATGACGATAATGCAAAAGAATTCGATGAAGCTTACCTAGATAGGTTGTTTATATTTGCATTAATGTGGAGCTTGGGAGCTTTAATTGAATTAGATGATAGAAGAAAATTACAAGATTTTCTTATCAACCGAAATGTGCAGAATTTACCTGATTTGCAATCCAGTGAAGATACTATATTTGAGTACCTTGTCAACGAGAAAGGAGAATGGATACACTGGTCTGAAAAAGTTCCTAATTATTTCTACCCTACAGATTCAACACCGGAATATTCATCCATCCTTGTACCCAATGTCGATAACGTTCGAACTAATTTCTTAATTGATACCATTGCTAAACAACATAAAGCTGTGTTATTGATAGGTGAACAGGGTACAGCTAAAACTGTTATGATTAAAAAATACATGGCTAATTATGATCCAGAAAGGCACTTAGTCAAAAGTTTAAATTTCTCATCAGCATCCACGCCTATACTTTTCCAGAGATCTATCGAAAGCTACGTTGATAAACGTATGGGTAGTACATTTGGGCCTCCAGCTGGTAAGAAAATGACAGTTTTTGTCGATGATATTAACATGCCGACCATCAATGAATGGGGAGACCAGGTAACTAATGAGATTGTCCGTCAATTAATGGAAATGAAAGGATTTTATAATTTAGAAAAACCGGGTGATTTTACAAATATTGCTGACCTTCAATTTATTGCGGCTATGATACAACCTGGTGGTGGTCGTAACGATATTCCTAGCCGACTAAAGCGACAATTTGCTATATTTAATTGCACTTTACCATCGGATGCTTCTATTGATAAAATATTTAGAACCATTGGTGAAGGATACTTTTGTGCAGGGAGAGGCTTTAATCAGGCTATCACATCTCTAATTGAATCATTAGCGTCTGCAACGCGTCGATTATGGCAAAAAACCAAAGTGAAAATGTTGCCTACACCAGCTAAATTTCATTATGTTTTCAATTTGCGAGATTTATCACGAATTTGGCAAGGAATGTTAGCTGCAACATCTGATGTCATCAACCATCCAAAAAATCTCTTTACATTATGGAAGCACGAATGTCTACGTGTTATTGCCGATCGATTTGTATCCAAATCAGATGTGGATTGGTTTCAACGAGCATTAAATACTGTTGTAGAGAATGATTTTGGAGAAAGCTACCTTAACTTGGTTAACGAAGAGCACTACTTCGTCGATTTCTTACGCGATGCTCCTGAAGTTACAGGTGATGAAGTAGATGATTCCGATTTTGAAACACCTAAAATTTATGAACCAATCGAAAGTTTCGAGCAATTATCGGATCGACTTATCCATTACTTAATGTCTTATAATGAGGCTATTCGCGGTGCTGCTTTAGATCTTGTCTTTTTCAAAGATGCTATGATTCACTTGATGCGAATATCCCGCATTATTCGCCTACCACATGGCAATTGCCTCCTTGTTGGAGTTGGAGGCTCTGGTAAGCAAAGCCTAACACGTTTAGCGACCTTTATTGCAGGCTATCAAATATTTCAAATTACCTTGACAAGATCTTATTCAGTAACGAATCTATTAGATGATTTAAAAATTTTATACCGCAACGCTGGCTTGCAAGGCTCAGGTGTAACATTTATTTTTACCGATAATGAAATTAAAGATGAATCATTTTTAGAATACCTAAATAACGTTTTAGCATCAGGAGAAGTTTCCAATCTATTTGCACGCGATGAAATTGATGAAATTACTCAAGAATTGATTCCAGTCATGAAAGCTGAATATCCTCGTCGATTACCTACCTTGGAAAATCTATACGATTACTTTTTAACCCGTGTCAGAAATAATTTACATGTCGTACTCTGTTTTTCACCAGTTGGTGAGAAATTTCGTAATCGTGCACTTAAATTTCCTGCATTATTTAGCGGATGTACAATGGATTGGTTTAGCCGATGGCCTAAAGATGCTCTAATTGCTGTTGCACAACATTTTATCTCGTCTTATCCAATTATATGTAGTGATAAAGTGAAACAAAGTGTTATTGGCACCATGGGTACATTCCAAGATAGAGTATCTGAAGCTTGTGTAAACTACTTTGAGAGATTTCGCAGACAAGCTCATGTTACACCCAAATCTTATCTATCCTTCATCAACGGTTATAAACTAATATATCGTAATCAAAAGGAATCCATTGGTCTACTTGCTGAACGAATGAGAACAGGTTTAGATAAGTTAGTAGAAGCAACGCAATCAGTTAATCGGCTATCTGAAGAACTGATTATTAAAGAGAAAGAATTAGAAATTGCTTCTGATAAAGCGGATGTTGTACTAAAAGAGGTTACAGCTAAAGCACATGCGGCTGAAAAGGTTAAACAACAAGTTCTGAAAGTAAAAGAGAAAGCACAAGCTATTGTAGATGAAATTGCTGTCGACAAAGCTGCAGCTGAGGAACGCCTTGAAGCAGCTAAACCAGCGCTCGAAGAAGCTGAAGCCGCATTGCAAACTATTAAAGCACAGCATATTGCTACCGTACGTAAATTAGCCAAGCCGCCTCATTTAATTATGAGAATTATGGATTGTGTCTTATTACTATTTAATAAACGGCTTGATCCTACTCAACCTGATCCAGAAAAGCCGACTATTAAGCCATCATGGGGTGAAGCATTAAGAATGATGAATAATAGTGGATTTTTACAATCCTTGGTTCAATTTCAGAAAGATTCCATTAATGATGAAACTGTAGAATTATTGGAAATCTATTTTGCAAACGAAGATTACAATATAGATACAGCTAAGAAAGCTTGTGGTGATGTTGCAGGTTTGCTATCGTGGACTAAGGCAATGTGTGCATTTTATGCTGTTAATAAAGAAGTATTGCCACTCAAAGCTAACCTAATGGTGCAAGAAGCGAGATTAAATCAAGCGAATGGAAATTTAACTAAGGCTCAGAATCAGTTCGACGAAAAGCAAGCTGAATTAGATGCCGTTCAAAAGCAATATGAAGCAGCTGTAACTGAAAAACAGAATCTAATTAATGATGCAGAAACTTGTAGGCGCAAAATGAATAATGCTACAACTTTAATTGATGGATTAGGTGGAGAAAAGATACGATGGACAGAACAGAGTAAAATGTTTGAAGAACAAACTAACAGACTTGTTGGCGATGTTTTATTAGCTACCGGTTTCTTATCCTACTCTGGTCCATTTAACCAAGAATTTCGCTCTTACTTATCTAATGTATGGAAGAAAGAAATGAGACGTCAAAAAATCCCATTCACCGAAGATCTCGATTTAGTAACTATGCTAACAGATAGTGCTACAATTGGTGAGTGGAATCTACAAGGTTTACCAAATGATGAATTATCCATCGAGAATGGTCTAATAGCTACCAAAGCGTCACGATTTCCCTTGCTTATCGATCCACAGGGCCAAGGCAAAGTTTGGATTAAAAATAGAGAAGCACCCAATGAGTTACAAGTGACCTCATTAAATCATAAGTACTTCAGAGCGCATTTAGAAGATTGTTTATCCTTAGGTCGGCCATTATTGATTGAGGACATTAACGAAGAACTCGATCCAGCCTTGGATAATGTCTTAGAAAAGAACTTTATCAAAATCGGTAAAACATTAAAAGTCAAGGTCGGTGATAAAGAAATTGATATCTTGGAAGGTTTCCGATTATATATTACCACCAAGTTACCCAATCCAGCATATACCCCCGAAATAAGTGCTAGAACATCTATTATCGATTTCACTGTTACGATGAAAGGCTTAGAAGGACAATTGCTTGGTCGTGTTATACAAACTGAGAAGAAGGTACAGAATCACTCTGAATACACCAATACTTAATTTATACAAATATATAGCTAGCACATATTGTATAAATGTATACGCGTACACGAATATGAATATGTTAAGCTTTTAATCAATATTGCACGATTTTGATATACACATTCACTTTCTATTCGGATGATATTTAGGAATTAGAACTGGAGCGTACAAAATTAATCGAAGAAGTTACGTTTAATAGGCGCAAAATAAAGGATTTGGAAGATAACCTTTTACTACGGCTAACCAGCACTGAAGGATCTTTGGTCGATGATGAATCATTAATCGCTGTCTTGGCTAATACTAAGAAAACAGCTGAAGAAGTACGCGATAAATTAGCTGTAGCAGCAGAAACAGAAACTAAAATTAATATTGCACGTGAGGAGTATCGCCCAGTAGCAACACGTGGAAGCATCTTATATTTCTTAATTGTAGAAATGTCAATGGTAAATGTCATGTATCAAACATCACTAGCGCAGTTTTTAAAATTGTTTGATCTCTCTATGGTACGCTCACAAAAATCGCCAATTCCAGCTAAACGTATACAAAATGTTATCGATTATCTAACATTTGCAGTATTCAAATATACAGTTCGAGGATTATATGAGAATCATAAATTCCTATTTACGTTGTTACTGGCTTTAAAGATTGATTTACAGCAGGGCCGTGTAAAATCAGACGAATTTCAAGTACTCATTAAAGGTGGTGCTGCCCTTGACTTAAACAACGTTGATCCTAAACCTAAGAAATGGATACCCGACATTACCTGGCTTAATCTGGTTGAGTTGAGTAAACTACCTCAGTTTTCTCAAATCTTAGGTCAAATTTCGAGAAATGATCGTGGTTGGAAAAGTTGGTATGATGAAGACGCACCTGAAGAAGCTATCATCCCTGATGGTTATAGTACCTCTCTTGATACACTTCGGAAATTATTATTGGTGCGATGTTGGTGTCCTGATCGTACTATACCACAAGCGAGACATTATATTATTGAATCGATTGGTTCAAGATATGCCGAAGGAGTAATCTTAGATTTAGAAAATATGTGGGAAGAAAGTAATACTCGCACACCAATGATATGCTTCTTATCTATGGGTTCCGATCCTACAGCATCAATTGAGGCTTTAGCCAAGAAAATGAAACTAGAATGTCGAGCAATTTCTATGGGCCAAGGTCAAGAAATACACGCTCGTCGCTTACTCTCTCAAACAATGTCTGAAGGAGGATGGTTAATGCTACAAAATTGCCATTTAGGTCTTAATTTTATGGAAGAATTGCTAGAGACCATATTAAACGCAGAAAATGCTGATGACAGCTTTAGAGTTTGGATGACAACTGATGTTCACCCGCAATTTCCCATTAATATCTTACAGCATTCAATTAAATTTACGAATGAACCACCTCAAGGTGCAAAGGCAGGTCTTAAACGTACGTATGGTAATATTACTCAGGATCAATTAGATATTACTAACATGCCACAATGGAAGCCAATGCTTTATGGTGTGGCATTCTTGCACACGGTTGTACAAGAAAGGAGAAAGTTTGGCCCATTAGGTTGGAATATCCCTTACGAATTTAACGAAGCCGATCTTACTGCAACAGTCCAATTTGTGCAAAATCATTTAGACGATATGGATATTAAGAAAGGAGTATCATGGAATACAGTAAGATATATGATTGGAGAAGTCCAATATGGCGGCCGTGTAACAGATGATTTTGACAAACGATTGATAAATACTTTTGCACGTACTTGGTTTAGTGATGCCATGTTTGCCGATAATTTCAGATTTTATGAGGGTTATCGAATCCCTAAATGTAAAACCATAGAGGATTACCGCACAGCTATTGATAGTCTACCCTTAGTAGATTCGCCGGAAGCCTTTGGCCTGCATCCCAATGCTGATATCACTTACCAGACTAAAACTGCTACCGATATTTTAGATACAATTGTCAACATCCAACCGAAAGATAGCGCATCTGGCGGCGGTGAAACACGCGAGAGCGTAGTATTAAAGTTAGCAATGGATATGTTAGAGAAATTACCCCCCGATTATATAGCCCATGAAGTTAAAGATCGATTACAGAAAATGGGCTTGCTATCACCTATGAATATCTTCTTACGTCAAGAGATTGATCGTATGCAATGTGTTATTTCTGCTGTAAGGCAGACATTAACTGATCTTAAATTAGCGATTGATGGCACCATCATTATGAGTGAGATACTACGCGATGCTTTAGATAATATGTATGATGCTAGGGTGCCAGTTTCTTGGAGAAAAGTCTCTTGGGAATCTTCTACTTTAGGCTTTTGGTTTACTGAATTACTTGAGAGAAATGCTCAATTTCATACATGGCTCTTTGAAGGGCGTCCTAATGTTTTCCACATGACTAGCTTCTTTAATCCACAAGGCTTTTTGACTGCAATGCGCCAAGAAGTTACTCGAGCTCATAAAGGTTGGGCTTTAGACAACGTGGTACTAGCAAACGATGTTACAAAACATTATAATGATGATATTGCTACACCGCCAGCGGAAGGTGTCTATGTTCATGGACTATACCTTGAAGGAGCTGGTTGGGAGAGAAGAGCTTGTAGGCTTACAGAACCCTCACCTAAAGTCCTATACACTCCTTTACCGGTTGTCCATATTTATGCTGTCAATGTTACAACAGCTCGCGAAAATAATCGCCTGTACGAATGTCCCGTTTACAGAAAGAAACGACGTACAGATTTAAATTATATCTTCTCTTTATATTTAAAAACAAGTCAACCCCCTGATCATTGGACACTTCGTGGCGTAGCATTGCTTTGCGATATTAAGTAGTTCTTAATAATTAATTGTCTGTACTTAATGATGGGATTTATCAAATACTAACTATTCATTTACTCAAACATTACCCATTTTTTATCTATCATGATATTGCATTTTGAATGTCAACTGTCTAAGTAAACTAGATTAAATAAACCGATATATCAGTATTATTTACTATTAATTTAATTATAATTTCAACTGGCACTGTCACTACAAATGGCAGGAAAAACAATGATAGGTACTTTCATCAACGTTAAACATGGAGCAAACTATCATCTCGAATTGCCATTCTGCTTCAATTAAATACTTCACCTACTGATTAAATCAATTTGTTGGTTAAAGGTCTCCCGTTAGTAAAGTAATAAATGCTAAGAAAACAATTTGATGTGTAAAATGGGGTATAATACTAGCTTTAAATGACAATAAACAACATTTATACAATATAATGTTTGGTTACATCTGCGTACGAAACTGCTTAGAAGCAGAATAAATGAAGCACAACCGCTGTCAGATTGAAAACAAAGGTTTCTTTTAGAATACGTACATGTAGTTGGAATTTGATAGAGGCAGGTAATTTAGATAAAAGCATAAGGTAAATTACATTATCCTGTTTCATAGTAAAAACTAGTCTTAAAAGTGATTTAATCACTACAAAGCTCATAAAGCTTGGCATACAGGACCATGACTGTTAGGTTTCTTAACAATAATAACACATTAGTTAGAGTATTTCATTATATTCTCCGAATCAAAGTAAAACTGGCTTCGCAACAGTGTTGATCATTATAATCAATTCATTACAGCGCTTGATGAGATATTGATTGATAAGACTCGATCATTCCCATAGCTGGAACAGTATATAATTCGGCTACTGGCAAAACTGTAATCCAAAACCATAATATCGATCAGAAGAACTATATAATTTATAATAGTAATTTGAAGTTAAACTTGCCTTAAGCTAGAAGGTCCATTCATTCCATGTTTTGCTACCACGTCAACAAAGCGTCCTTATTGATATTTAGCGAGGAATGGAATAAAGCGGTAAAAAAATTTCTTTTGTTAATTAATATATAATAAGTGAACTATACGGGTGCATACAATATAAGATACTGTTGTAATACAGCACACTGCATGTACCATGCAGAGAGGAATACACATTCAATACGATAAGAAATTATCTTCAAAATTTTTCACGTCAATAAGATATTCGTACCGCTGCTATCCAAAATTACGATGCTATCCGTGGAATAACTTGTTACATAGACAAAGCTAAAAAGAAAAACGAAATTCAGGGTACAGCTAATAATGATATCCAAAATATAGCATTAACCTATAATAGATCTCAGAGTTTTACCCATCATAACCAAGAGCGAGTCCTACAGGCCTATCAACTTTACCAAATTCACCCAAGAATTTGCCTACAGCATAATAAACACCCCAGTACAGCTATAATGCGATTTTAAAAATTTGCTAATAGCCATTTCTAGTAGGTCCAAAGTGAATCGCTTAAGCCTACTACTTAATGCTATTTCGTTTCATTAGATTGTTTTATCTTTCAACTAATTATTTGTAGTGTTGACACGGACATGTGCACATGTAAGTATGTCTCATTAAAGAATTATCAATTATAAAAAATACATGGAAGTTTTACGAACTGTAGTAGGCTACTACTATATATGTTACGGTCAATCCTGGCCACTCCCGGGAATGGCCGGTCATTCCCTATATACTATATCAAAGACTTTGAAATATTTATTCTTCTTACCAGTTTGAGAATTAAATTTGAGGATATTATCGCTATAATGACTGGTAACTAATAGGCTTCCATCTTTCATCAACAAAACGCCTTCTGGTCTATACATTCAACAGGATAATCGCATGATTTAAAGTTTTGTCACTATATGAATGTAGCATTAAGGCAAAATTTATTTATTAGAGATCTTACAATATTCTACTACTACTTATATTCTACTTATATTTTCGTATGCATACCCTTTCAAACCGCTACTCCCATCCGCTACCTAACATATATATATGTATGCATAGATTAAACATTATGTGCATTAAATTTGGAGTAGAACCGATTTTAGCAGTATGAAGTATGAGTTCTAAAGGATAAATTAAATGTAATGATGGAATATATACGTACCACTCCTAAGAAATCACCTTCCAAATTAAATTTTACTACTTTATCGTTCAGAAAACTGGCAACATAGAGAGTTCTGTTAGATCCTAATACGATTCCCTCTGTACCGAAATTACAGCAAGTAATAGAAAATCAATATTTAAAGTCTTAGGTTAGTAATAGATTGATAAATACTGTAACAAGATGCATATTTATAATTACATCAGAATTGTAATATCTACAGTCGTATTTGACAGTTACACCGAAATATGCTGTACTGTATACCTATACCTCACAACTCTTACGAATAGCAGTATACAAACGAAAAGAGTATTTAATAAGTGTATTTTGCTATAATTTTAGAAACGACTGCGTTATAATCACGAATCAGCTACAGCAAATAGATGGAATTGTATGACGTTTGATGAAATTAAAATGATATGTGAATAACCTGGACAATCCAAATATTGTTCACCGCCAAAGGAATTTATAAATTCCCCAGTCGTAGAATTATACTTCCGAATTTCGTCAGTTGCAAAGCTTGCTACATATAATATCTTATTATCTAAGTTTCATAAGTAGACTAAGTTATCTTACATATTAAATAATTATAATCATCCCATGTGATAAATAAATTTGTAGACATTATTAAATATTGCAATTGTTTAAATTTACTAATGCAAGAACATAAGCAAAGACATGTCTTATAAAACTCCTAAAGTAAACATCGGCTTGCATTGCAACGTAATAAAAATTTGTTTGCCAAAACATGCAAAATACGCATACATATGTATAAATATAGTACAACTGACAAAACTATCGTATTTGATTTAAGTTTAATTTCTTATGTTTGATCCCTCATATAGGATTGACCCGATTTCAATTAAAAGGTGGACTAAATTGCTCTACATGTTTATATAATCCTACAGTATCTGCACTTTAAGCTGGTATTATAAAATCTTACCCAATACCATTCCCCATGGACCATCTAAACCGGAACCATGAATCAGTGTAACAGCTTGACTCTGAGATTTATAAATATTAGGTATCCAATAAACCTGCAAAAGGTCAATAGTATTACAATAAAATAAAACTTTCCAGTCATATTTTTTAAATGCTAGTCTTGTATAAAATTTTCGGTTAGGTAATCAATGCTAAATAAGCTTTTATAATATGTTTTACTCCTTAAACACCGTAGAGTACAACTAGAATGTGATAAACGTATATTAGAGCAAATCTTTAAACAAATCAAGATTAACTTGAAATATTTAATTTAATGAGACCTCGTTTGTACTCATATAGGTGATATCATAGGACGCATAGTACGTGTAATCGTTTCTATGTTACGTTAGCGCTACTGATCGTTTGATTACACATTAAAATTTCAATTATCCATTTACAATTAAATATTTGTACAGCTTATAGGTCGAAAAATAAACTTAAGTTTTCTTCAATTGGTTGGTTGTAATGACTTACTTCATTTTTCATGAAGCTAAAAATGAAATAGAAATGGTGTTAATTTGTTACATACGAGTTATATGTGGATGTCAAATTCATAACTAGTTATAGGTATTAATATTTAAAATAATTTGTTGTTAGATAACATACAGTATTACCAGCAATCAAACGTTTCTCATCAAATTCAGATCGATGTAATCGGACGATATAAAAGTTGATACTCTAAGTTTCTAAATTACCTTGAAATGTATAAACTTCCACCTGGGGTTGCTAGTACATACGATGGTTTATCAATATTATTTAGATGCCTGACTTCACGATAATTTTGATTATTCCTACCAAATATGAATCATCCTAATCAATGGTTGCGATCAATTTCTATCAAAATTTTACGTACCTGGGGTGCTATTTTTATATATTAATCACTGCAATCGTTTTAAGGCTTCTTAATAAATTATTATTACAGAAGTACAACACTAAAGTACAATTTATATCATAACATATATAGAAACAGCATCAATAGTACACTGTAATGGTAACAAGTTATATTGACAAAACCATTAATATGTTATCTTCTAATATTAGTGCAGTTTATTGCTACTGAATATTTTAAAAAAATGCTTCGTAATATCTCAATATATATATCACTTACATACAATATGTGATACTGAAATTAAGCATTATTAGAGAATTTATTAATGTTATTTCCAAACCTTAATTCAGTTTGTTGTTTGTTTAATACTATTATATATAATATGTAACTTTTTGATATGCAGTATGTGACACGTTGAATTTAATTCATGGTCATACGCTATATACTTTTTAATCTAATCCGTCATTGGATTTATTACTAAATCTTCTCCGTACGCTATAATAAGAATATTTAACTATAACAGTAATTATGACATTACTATAATGATATCTTATAGTCATGCGTACCATGATTTATAGGCAAATTGAAAAGCTTGATTAGCAAACTGGTTAAAAAAGTTATCCTGGCTACTTGACAGGCATAACCTAAGGACGACCATGAATTTATTTAATTTAATTAAAATCAGAAGATAGAATCATAATACAATAATGCCCAGCTGGATCATTTTACTAAATTGCATAGCATTGCATAGAGGAAATAGACAGAAAATGAGTTTGTTAAATACGTAGTAGCTAAACTAATCACAAATCATTTCTTGCAATCAACTTCAACACCAAGGGCTAAATAATTGCTCATAATATAATTGATATTAACTATTTAAGTTACTACGTAATACTGTATGTCTAACACGAGACTGTACGACTGAGTAGTAAATGGATCGTTACATAATCTCCTAAATCTGCCAGCAACTAAGATACTATTCATTTTAATAACTATCCCTGGTTGCAAAGATAAAACGATATCACTATTTCATTTTATTATGCAGTGTAAGGAGCCTACTGACATTAGATGAGTATTTGTATGTATCCATACGACAGCATCATTCATCATTTATATTAGAAGTGTTGAAGGCTAAGCAATCATTACTTACGAAATAATCATAAGGTAGACAATGATGTAATATCGACGTATCATTCTGCTAAGATAGCCTTGGATAAAATAGATATTAGCAAGATTATTAAAGAGACAGCCTTTAGTATCTTTTCAATGACCAAATTAGCAAATTATATTAATTCTGGACACTGCGACCAGGGTACAAGTGCTATCACTGTATGCTAGCTACTATCGCTAATCTATTAATAAATGCCTGATACAAAAATATGAACACGTTGTTATACAGTATGTGGGTCAAGAGTCTTTGAAGAATGTCACTAGAGAATATCTACATCAATCTAGTGTAACTGTTACAAGGTAAAAATTGAAGCTATGAAAGATTTTACTGGATTTTTAGTTCATTGATTTCTTTCGTTTCATTGCAAAATGGACTCCATTTCTTCTTCGAATCAGATCCACGACTTCTGGTACAGTACTGTACTGTACATGATGTACTGTACACTGTACAATATGTACTGTGGTCTGTAATAATCATAACGCAAACAGGTGCCTTATGCCTATAATGCACTATGGGAACGCAAGCGACAGATAGATTCAACTACAAGTATCGCGCGTACAGTACGCAACATTTCATCACCATGACTGCAGTCTGCAGCTCAGATTGAGCTCTAGTTGCTGAGCTCATCCATTCATCATCCTCAACTCTTCGCCAAGATCTGCAGCTACTTGCTGCTCAACATTAATCATCATGATAAGTAATGCTATTTTACGATTATTATGGCGGCAATGGAATCATCACCCAAAGAAGACTGTCATTAACCTAACATATAATGTCCATGGACAATTTTATGGTACATTTTCTGCATATCCCAAGACACATGAAGCTAAAGCGGTTTCTGAAGCTGAAAAAATCGTTGGTTATCCTACGTCTTTCCTTAGCTTTCGACATTTACTCACAGACGAAGTATCCAATGTTGCAGTGCATATGAAGAAATTACTCGGTAGCCGTCATCCATTAATGCATACTATTAGGTCAGTAAAAACCCTTCTAGAAGTTTGTGTAACTATTCAGTCAATCAGTTTGTGTTAATAAAAGAGTTGTAAGCTTATCGTAATGGTAATAATTGGACACGATCATCACACCATACGGTACTGTAGTCCCCGGATAGACACGAGTCGATATCTAGACTTGTTTAGGTAGCGAATCTTTAAGCTTGCTACGCAATAAAATGATATACAGTTGTATAGTGAATACGCGTATGCTATCAATTAGAAGATTGAGGTACTCGTAAGTTAAGCCTCTCTATAACACGTGTATCAACAGCATACTACGGTACTAAATGTCCAGGGTTAAAGATCATGCCCATCAAGCATCTCTGCTAAGATTACTATTACACTTTGAGTCATACCATTGACACAATGCATGGAATCTCCAATTTAAAGTGAACTAATCAATTAATGTCTAATTTACTATATACAGTCTACTATACTCCTGCTATAGAAACCTTTATGGCAACTAATGTTATATGAACGGTTATGATTTGATAGGGGATTAATCAATAACAGTTATAACGAAAACAAAGCTAAATATTCCTTAATTGTCTTGCTCATTGCTAAAGCTGCTGGTAAAAGTCAAATGATTGAAGAACAAAGCGTCGATGGAATCTACCCAACTCAGCGATCACTAGCAGAAATTACTGAAATAATTCGCATGGCACAAATAATTCACACTGGAGTAGTTAATTTACCTGAACCGATTGCTTCCGAAGAAGACAAAGAATTGCAGCTAGGCAATAAAATGGCTGTTTTAATTGGTGATTTCTTGTTGGCCAAAGCCAGCAATGGATTGGCTAAGTTAGAAAATACACAGGTTGTAGATTAACTGATCGATATTACATAATGTTGAAAATTTCTACGGATTCGAAATTTTTTTCTTATGTTTCATCGGATCACCTAGTATCACTTTTTTAGACTGTTAATATATTGTAACATTTTTTTAAATATAGCAATTTCTATATCATAAATACTGTCATCATTACATACATGATTTATAAATCTCTGCTTTGATCGCATGCCGCAGCAACCGATCGATCAATCGATCAAGGTAGCTCTAAGTCTGCAGTCGAAGATATTTGTTATTCAAGCTAGCTACTGTATTGATATAGTGAACGATGCTTTTACGTAAATACTAATATATATTTTGTCATATCTTATTATTTTACAGAAATCTATGTGCTATAAGTTAGTTACAATATCAATGAAATATTATTTTTTCTCCTTCTATTCGCAGGTTGTACAACTCATGTCCGAAGCCATAAGTGAAATGATGGAAGGTGAATTTCTTTGTTCTACGATTCAAGATGTAATTAAGTCGGATATTATAGACTATGTCAATTTATGGGAGCAACGAACATTATTAAGAAAGGGTAGTTTATTATCAAAGAGTTGTCAATGTGCTTTAAAGTTAGTTAATCATAGTGAAGAAGCGCAAATGGTCGCTAACAATTTTGGACAGAACTTGGCTTATACTCAACAGGTTATCCTATTTCCAAACAATTTCGTAATTGAATGTACGAGTGTTAATTAGAAATTACTTGCTTAAATCCATACCGTTCTATAACGATTACTCTTATTTGACAGTTATCCTTAGAATTAAGTGCACTTCAATTGGATGATACTGGAAGTCAGATAGATTATACAAGTTTACCGGCACTCCTTGCCTTGCAAAATTCAGAAGATAAAGCTACGTTATTCTCGTCAAATATTCAAGTAACTGACTTCGTGATAAATACTACTATATATAATTGACAGAGCTTTTATAACTTCTGAACAACGATTTGATTTCTTATTTAATGTCTTAGTTTTATAAACATCAAAAATTGGTGCTTGACGAAGTTAAAACTGTTTACGAAACCTACAAATCAAAATTGTTGGATTCCTTAGCATACTTTCAAGATTGTGATGCAAAAACTGCCCTGGAGAAAATTGTAATAACAAACATGAACGGATTAAAAATCTTTCACTTATAAGATATAAAACCAACTGATAAAATAGCTACTTTTGCTGAAGTAACTCTTACATACTTATCAGTAATCTAATCACCCTTTGTACTAATGTTAACCCTATGACGAGGGCAAAATATAATGTGATTCTTACGATACTAACATGTGTATGTATTGATTAGTCATCTAAAACAAGTTCATTATGAGGTAAACTTTGCAACTGATTATGAAAGATTATAAAATGAAATTTTTATTGTAAATATTTACTAAAATTGCAATTAAGTTATCGGTCGTATTAATTTATTACCATTTTTAATGCATCTTGTAGCCTAATTGTATTTGCTTAGGACGGATATTGGATCTGGTATTGTGAAGTGAGACTAGTGACTACTTTCGAATCTCTTTTCTAGTATGCAATAACGATCCAATCAGGTCTAGCTGAAAGGTCACTAAATGTACTTGAGCTTAATAGTATATAAATTTATTGTATTATAAATTCACGAGCTGACATTAATTCGGATATAATAATACGTATGCATGTAGGAAAATTATATTTTATTTCTTGAATTAATGTCTTAAGTGTAACTGTATACGTATATTTATTCAACAAAAGCATCTTTTGTACGTTAGGGTTTATTAATGATTTTTGTTTGTCGTAAATCAATTATTGAGAAGCTTTTAACAGTACTTGGTAAGTACCTAATCTAAAAATGAGATTCTTAGCTAACTTGCATAGAGAAGCGCATAATACGGAGAGTAGCGTTCAAATCCAATAGCGTTTCTTTTCAATAGAATAATAGACTTATTTTATTTTAATATCCCTATTATTGAGTTATTCACTTATTAATTTGTGCAAATTATTCTGTCTAATACAATATTACAAGTTTATCCTTGCTTTAGTATTCTAACTTTATTGATCACAAAATGCTTTACAATATTGAAAATCTCTATGGAAATCGTCGATTACCATTTAGTTGCACACCTAAAATTCAGAGTTAATTAGCGGTTCAAACTGAGTGCCCTTTATTTATATCAATTTCTATTTTTAAGAATTATATCATCACCTGGCAGTAGTATGTTATCGCTGGGTTTACTGCTTTATATTAATACAAATATGTATAAAAATGTACTCAATTATTTGAAAGGATAAAGGATCTTCTACAATAGGCCTCGACTATCATTAAAAGCGCTGCTTTTATTATAGTTGTAAATGATGTTTGTTTAAGATTGTCTTAGTTGCTTGTTAAGGTAACTTAAAGCTCAAACTAAGAACTATTCTAAGTGAATCATGCTTGATTTTCAGTGTCCATGAAGTTAGCCAATTCTCTTCCGATATTGACTAAAGTAAAAAGCTAACTTAAATTTTTGATACTGTTGCCAAAGTCATCACTCAATCAATATACAGTACTATTTATGACGATTTACTAAAGTAGGTTTGTTAATGTGTTAAATATCCAGCTTTTAAAAACATTTGTATTAGTCGAACAAAATGTGAAAGCCACTAATTTTTCTTTCCGATACTACGACTTAAGTACAATCGATTTCTTAGATCGGTGATTACGTGTTATTTGATAGCTATAAATTGATGTGCACTATACCATGTTATTTACAGCATGGTCACAAACAAACTATACAGTACCCATCTTATGTTATTTGCTAAAGAGATAACTCAAGTCGTATCATCAGTTCATTTATTTGCGGATTAAATAATCAATACTTGAACGTCAAGATGGCTATGTCCTTAATCATAGCCCAGTATAAATATCAACTGAATTTATATTGTAAATAAATTTAAAAATTAAATGTTTATGAAACTAATTTCGAAGGTTAGATAAATAATAGAAGAGCGTTTATCCATCACGTGTACAAGCACCTTTCCTTATGTTGATCATTTATTCAATTTAACGTTTCATCTTTCATCCTCGTTTTGATACTATAAATATAAAAACTTATTGGGTAAAAAATACCGCATCATCGCTTATTTATTTTTATAGAATAAATATGTTAAGATAACTATGATGGCTTAGTTTAAATTTAACTTCTCCATAAATAGAAAAGATTTTTATTGTTGACTTATGTGGCCAGAAAACTGTCAAGCTTGTCAGAATATCCAGGCCTATTGTTATTTCTGTTCACACTTATACTTCAGCTGGATTTATTATCTACTATGTCATAAATATTATTTATGAGTTAAACTACGATAGATGGAAACAAAGAGATTATTTAGATAGAAATTTATTTTAAAGTTAATTTAAAAATAAAAAATTCTGGTAATTACATAAGGCACCAATTTACTAATTTTGGTAACGGTATTATCATTATGGTAATTATAGTACCTTATTACAAGAAACTTATGGATCCATTAGATAATAGCGATATATTTCAACAAGTACAACGACAACTGATTTTTTAAGTGTGAAAACTCCTGTCAATTGGCTGCCTTATATTTTGAATAGTATTATTGTTGGGATATATTCGTAGAGATCGGTTAATTGGTAGAGCTTGAAAAGCCATACAATGACAACATATTTTCCTAAATGTTTGATATAATGAAATGCTACCTTTTCTAAATTGTGGATCAAAAATGGAATAGATTGCAGGATTAATAGAACTATTAATAAACTTTAACCATAGAAGTAAAAAGTGTATTAATTGTGAAAATCGATAACCGGTAAAAGGTTCTATAATCATAACGACAATGCTATATGGTAAATAGCAAATAATAAATGTACAGCAAACTATAAACGATGATTTAGTTAATTTGCTTTCAATTATATTTTCCTTCAGTTGTGAGCGAGATATTACGCTGTTGTGGGCTAATTGTAAACGATGATAAGTTAAAGTTGTACTCGTTGTCGTCGATGTTATATTGTGTTGAGGATGGCTGAAGTCGATCGTAATACCTGCTGCCCGTAAATTTTTCATATAGCGTGAAACACCGAATGAAATCTTAGTATAACAGGCAACCATGATAATAAATGGAACAGTCCAACCAATAACAACAGCAGTAAGAGTATAATCAGGATAGGAGGACCAGTCCTGTTGACATGAAAAATCCAGGTAGTCGTAGACAATTGTTCCCCATCCCATTAGAGGTAAACTACATAATGCTATACATACTATCCATGAAACTATAATAATAATGACTATGAATGTTTTATTACATAAATATCTACATTTAGAATGATGGAATAAGACAATGTATCTAACAATTGCGATAAAAGCAACGGAATAGGTTGATTGAATATAAAATAGAGAATTTAAGATTGCCGTAAATTTACATAATGAATCATGAAGTGGCCAACCATTGCAAAGAAATGCAACTATATAAAATGGTAGTTTAAGTATTGCTGTTAAAATATCTACAATGGCTAGATTGACGATAAAATAATTAGTAGCAGTTTGTAACCTTTTATGTTTACATATAACAATTACGACTACAGTATTTCCAATGGTAGCGGTAATTATGACAAGAAGTACAGATAAAGCCATAGTGCCAGCACCGGCCGTAATATCTTGGCAAGTGAAATTCTTGCTAGTATTCGATATTAAATAATTATAATTTATCGTACTGGTTACTGTAATGAAATCATCATCCTCATGATTAGTAATGTCGCTGGGATGATCGCTTGTATGCATGATACTCAAATCAATTTTGGTGCATAGCAGTGCATGGAAGATAAGAGTAAAAACTTATCAATTCGATAATTTTTTAACTAAAAGTTGGTTAAACTCAGGATAGAATTGATAAGAATTTAACTTTTAAAATTTTAATTGCAATAGAAGCGATAATTTTCAATGAATATAAGAGAGTACAATTATTAAGCGTTGAATATAGTTACAGAAATGATATTAATTTGGACAGTTTGACTTCATGGATAAAGCTGTAGAATCCTTTTTTGTTATCCTAGAAAATAGGAGGAGCAACTCTACTAAATAAAAGTTTCATATCACAAAATCCAAATGGTTTAATTGTTTAAATAATTTTTGTCTTAATTTCTACTTAAATTGTTACTCAATTCAGACGATCAGATAAACGTTTATTTTGTTGATGAAATATATATACATAACGTAGATAATGGCACAAATACAAATGGATTAGTTACTTCGATCGTAAATAATGCGCAGTTATTGTAATATCTATAGACTAAAATTGATAAAAATTGATATACTTATAATACTAATTCTCATTGAACTAGAATTATATCGTAATTTGGAATCTTTTTCAGCTTACGAAAGTATTAGATTGACTATCGTAAAATTATTCTAAGCAAATGTAAAATCTGTTTTCATATCTAATTTATAAAAATAACATAACTAAAGACTGACGAATAAGGCGATATTAGCCGATTTTCAATTCGAATAAGAATCGAATTTGAGCACACTAAAGAATTAACTAGTTGTGACGAAGTTATACTTGAATTATGATTGCATTACCTCACAATATGACTAAACACTCAAGCAAGCATGATATTTTAAAAATCTTATATGATTTATCATTGTACATATGAGTAGCTAGCGTTAACAATGATGATCTATGTATAAGAACAGATATGTACATTATACAGTACATGTATTAGAAAAATTCATAAAATCCAAATGACGTTGTTAGAGATAAAATTAATCCTTTCAATTAAAAGTTTATTAAGGATATCAACTATACTAGAACGATTGAAATTATATTGATGAAATTAGGTCACTTTTATATAATGCTCATGTAATGGCAATGGTATACTTAATACATATTAACCGATTACAGCATTACAGCTTTAAATAATGTACGACTTAAATAAAAAATTGTTCAATTTAGCTTTATTATTCAGTAAAAGTGTGAGAAAGATTTGTTAGTAATATATATAGGAATGAAAAATTGTAACTACATAATAACTATAATTAAGACACTGAACAGAGCTAAAATTTGTCGAATAAATTCATATTCTAAAGGCTTACCTATGCTTGAAGAAGAGAAAACAGAATCCAAAATTTGTTTTGGAATAATAGTATATTGGCTATACACAGATAAGCAG